AACGACATGTATCCCGAAAACGGCGGTGCCATATAAAATGTCTCTATAAACTCGCGCCGCTGCGGCTAAGGCTGCTACCCCCGCTGTCGTCGGTGCGGCTTCGCACACTTCTTCGACGACAAAGCAATTTTGGAACTGCAGGGTATGTATGTACTCGTACGAGTGTGTGTGTGTTTGTGTACATGTGTGTGTGGGAGTGCCATGTCCTTGCCTTGATTTGAATTTTTAACTTGTGCAAGGCGCAAATGAAAGCGAGCATTAGCGAAATGCCAGCGCTCCTTGCTGTCAGATGGCTTGATGAAATTTTCACTCGATGACTTATTCAGCTTCCCACGCTCACTTAGCGATTTTCCCCTTAACTCTGAACTTTGGCTTCCTTTCGGCGCCGGGATATAGGCATTCCGGTGATAATCACCTTGGAGACAGAGGAACCATCTTTGCTGCCCTTTTGGCTGCATTCACACCATCGCTGCTCCTCGAGAGAAGGACGTGCCGGGTATCCTGATTGTGGGTTACAGCGAGATAAAATGGTATTGCATCTACCAGGAGGACAACAAAGATGGTGATGATGATGATGAATGCACGTCTGTTGCTCCTCGCTCGTTTGGCATCCATGCCAATCAAGTCAGCAAGGCAGCCAGGAGGCTCTAAGGACAACAACCCACTACGACAACGACAAAAGTGAAAGCAACAAAATCTCCATCATCAAGTGTCATTCTGGGCAGAAGTTGACGCATACATAAGCACACTGAAACTAACTAGAAAGGAAAAACTGAGATATATAATGAAATATCAGTAGGAGGTTTTAACGAAACTAAGCTTGTTTTCATGTTCATAAAATTCAGTGGAATTTATTTTAAATATAAATAGTTTTTTTAAAACTTCTTTATTTGTCTCCCAACTTTTCAATTTAATTAAAAAATATATTTGGTTGTGTATTTAACAATGCACCTAAATAAACTCTAATGGTTACCTTTTTTTTGTATAGATAAATTCTGAAATTCAATTAAATCCCATTTTTTTCGGTTTGCATTCGCTTTATTGAGGCATATGTCCGTGTGCATCTCTATCCATCTAAATGTGTCCCTCTCGTTCGCCCCTCCCGTCCAACTTTATCCATGAATATTTATGCTTTGTTGCAAGGACCTCCTAGCCGGATTGTTTAGGATGTTGTTGTCGGTTTTTTGGGGCGAAAGGAGCGGTGAGGGGGTGAATGGGTGAATGGGTGCTCCAAACCAGCCGTTGTTCTTCAAGAGCACACACTGTCTGGCAAATCAAGTGTGCAAGTTTGAATTGGGGCGGCTGCTGTTGCTGCTGCCGGGCTTAAATGTTGTTTAAACAAAACTTCTGATTCCATCATACTTGGCAAACTATTTAGGCACCGCCCTTTGCATTCTGCAACTTGCAAGCACCGAAACAAAATCCAATTTCCGTTGGCAGGTACATAAACCCCTCAGATTTGGAAAATATCCCTTGGCTGGCATCAATTAATAACTCATGCCCCATGGATATGGAATGGGTCCTTTTCTGATTTATGCTAGCCATCGGCCACAGAATCGTTACGATTTCAGCTTAATGCATCGGCCGCAAAAACAGATTGCAGTCGAATGCCATTAAGCATTATCCGCCAGTGACACACAAACACTTGTGCACTCAATTTAATGATTGATTTGAGTTTAATTGCTTTCAATTGTTTTGCGGAATGCAAATTTTACAAACGGTCAATTGCCCAGGGAGATAAATAAGCAATAAGCAATAAGCAAACATTTTTCACCCGTCACAATGACGTGTGAACCGAGGCGATTTGCCGAAGTACCGGCCATTCCGGCCCCGGGCAAATATTATGCAACACTTTTGGCCCAATTTCGCCGCATATCCCTAACACCACACTATATAGTATCTCCGCCCATTGACAACTCATCAAAAGCGACAGGCAAGGTCATGATGTGCCAAATACCCAGGGGGCTTTCGAGAAAATGGCGAAAAATAAAACCAAAAGTACATAAGACCCTTTTGCAGAGAGAGAAATGTTCTTTTTTTCCAATCGGAGGGGGGTTTTTATTTACTCAAGTTATGTTTATCAACCGGAATAAATTCTTAGTCAATTTGTCACAAAATTTCAAGAATGGTATGCACAAAAAGCTTTACGTATACTTAATATTTCTGGTTAAAAAGAGAAAAACAACATGTAAAGTACACTACAAACTTTCATTGACTTTGTACTTTCAGACTTCAACTTAAAGTAGAAAAGCTTGTATTTTCCCTTGCATTTCTGGGAATTAAAGTTTTCTCTCTCTGTCCTTCGATCTGTGTGTATCTCTATGTGTGGGCCATTTTTCCTCAGCGCTCCCAAGTTTGTCACACTTTCAGCAGCGCGCTCAGATATTTGCCGACTTCGCCTGTATCTCAACTTTTCGCTTTTCTTGTTTATTGATTTTTCCTACCCGACCCACCCAAGTTTTCCCGTTTTTCTCTGGCATTGTTTATTGTTCCACTTCGTTTTCTGGCGCTTTAACTACTTTCAAATCTTCGCTTGATGAGTATTTGTAATTGCACTTAGAGTATTACAAGAGTTCGCGAAATGGAGTGGAGTGGTGGGAAAAAAAGGGGCAGGTCTCAATACTAATTAAGTTGGCCAGTTCGTGGGCCGCTTTTCCGACTGCTGGCCAATTCAGAACTGAACCGAACTGAAGTGAAGTGGAGTGCTTGGCTGCCATCTGCCCTCCCTTTTTCCCCTTGGCTCTTGAGTGGCACTTGTCGGCGGTGGTAATGACGTCAGTGCGGACAGTTGGTGGCTGGATTGCGGGGAAGGTTCCCAGCAGGTGTGTCTCCTTCTTCGACGGCATGTTTCCTGTGGGTGACAGACAGGCTGTTGCATATGTCACAGCAATTAGACTCGAGCTAAAAATAAATGTGGGACAGGTTGACCCCGTGCAGAACCCACGTCAAGATATATTATCTGATAGACGGGGTCACGACCTAAAATTATAATTATACGTATCGCACAAGCGTATCAGAAATAATTGAATTCCACTGCGCATACCACAGGTCGTATGCGCGATTTTATTGAAATTACCGCTCGAAAGAGAAACTCACATGCCAATCAAATGCCAAACAAGCGAAATGGGTTCGATTATTGGCATAGTTTAGGCGCCATCATCGTTTTCATATCCCTCTGACAGCTTTTAAATATTTGAACCAATTTCCATGGAACAAATATTATGAGCAATAGCGAAACTTTCCATGGAGTTCCCAGTGTAAACACATTTTGGCCAGATGACCTCTAATCGACGCTATTGTAATTTGTTATATAAATAAGCATAATATGCTGTGTATCATTACCATCAGTGCCGTCGTTTTTGGGGCTGGCCGAGTGCCAGATTTATATCATCTTTCAGCATAACATTCACTATACGAGTTTATATGTATATATATATATATACCGTAGGTACAGAATGTGGGCCATTTATATGCACATATTTTTTGGCACATTCTTGTGCCCTCCCCGTTGTGTGCATAAAATATTTCTGCGGTAATTTTTCATGCTCACATTAGCGGCGTCTGTCAACCGAAAAACGGGAAAACGATAGCTGCGGGGTGTGTTTTTTGGGCGGTGAAATGTGTTGCAACATCAAGAAGCTGCAAGGCAGCCATTTTGCTCGCTTCTCGCTTTTCCCCAACCCGTATAAATAAATAAAATCCAGCTCAAAGGACCCCAGAGGGAAAGGAGAGTCCTGTCGTTTAATCGGTATTGATTTTGTATTGTTGTTCCGCCGACAATTTTTCATTGTGCGTTCTGCTTTGGGCCACGTCTTCTTCTTCCTTCGAGTTTCAGCCATTGCGCTTTTGGCCATCCGGCGATGGCGGTAATTGAAAGCCATACAAATTGCCGCCCGGCTGGCAAGGCAATTATAAAATTGTTTGGCCAAAGTTGATTGTAGCGTAAAATAGACGGGAATACGGGGCTCTAACTCGCACATACTGGCCAAGAAATAGTCTGGCCATGAATGGCCGTTAACGTTGGATCAATTGCTTATTTATTGCGCAACATTTTCAACAGGATTTTGCTTTTAATGCTCGAGTCAAGTTTCAGGCACTGAGAGAAAGTCATCCTTACTACAATAGGGAATTGTATATTAAGATAGGTTTTACTTTTTAAAGGAAGAATTCAACTTGTTTGGTATGAATAATTTGCTTCCTTTGCTACGGAAATACGTTAGCATAGTAAACATTGTCAGTTTTACTACCATTTTTCCCCCTTTTAACGATTTTTTTCGCACTGCTTGGTTTTTTTTCATTGTCAGGGATTCATTTAATGCCCAGACAGACAAGATAGAAAGAACAGAAGCTCGGCTGGGACGAAATGTTCAGCATTTTTGCCCTTCCGCTGGTGGCATGTGGCATGTGCCGGAGCCTCAATAAAGGCAATCCATAATTCATTTGGTTAAATGCATTCGAAACGGGCTCATTGCAGATGCATCTAGCCGTGCACTTCGTCCTGCATCTCGTAGTTATCGACGTTAAATTGCATTAAAGTGGTCACTCGATATGGCAGTTATCGAGTGTTCGGTGTTGTTTCACAAATGTTTGCCGTGTGTGTCGTATCTGGATTTGTCCACTCGATTTGTTCACTCGCATTAAAACCGAATTCGTGTTCGATACTCGACAAGGGAATTATTGTTTCCTTGGAGATGATTTATTTTTTGTTTACCGCTCTGGGAAGCTCGAACGAATTTATGATTTTTCTGATTCCCATAGAGTGTGCGGAAAATAAACAAATTTGAGGCTGGCACAAAACAGAATTAAGCCAAATTAAGTTTACCACTCCCCGAAAATCAAACACCAAAAATAAATCGATATGAAAAATAGACTCTTCATTTGGTTTGACTTTTGGCTTTGGTTTTATTTCTTTTGTACCAAATTTTTGCTCTTGGCAAAATTGCCACCAACCGACGGCGAATAAATCTGTGGTCCGCCTCCAACAAAAATAGACACATTCGCAGTTTCAATTGCAACTTGGCGGCGGCAGTGATTCACATTTTTTTGTCTGCGGCCCCCAAAAAAATCTGAGGCCCATACACGCGAAAAGCGACGCAAAAAAAAGAGGCCGCCACATTTCAATCGAAAAGTTTTAATTGAGTTTTTGCAGCCAATCGAATAATCAAATCAAAACTCATTACAATAAAAGCGAAAAGACGGGCGCGAGAAAGAAATTAGTGCAATTGAATTAAGGCAATCGGGCCAATTAAGTTATTAAACGAATTAACGAATCACACGTCACAAAAAATAAAGTGCAAAAATGTTTGGCTGCATATATCAGCTTTGGGATTGGTGAGTAGCGTAAATCTCGTAGATCTTGCGGTTAAGTTCCCCCACCCCATTTTACACCCCATTTCCCAACTTCCCATCTACCCATTTCCCGACCCCCTTCCCATTTTCCGCTGGGAAAATGAGGCCCTGCAAGGTCAGCCGTGTGTTTGTGGCTGAAGCGGCGACTGCAGTTAATCAATTACGGTCAATTACGCGCTGAGCCAGTTGCATTTTCCACGGCCTCCGTGTCTTCCGCAGCTCGCGAATTTCACAGACTAGAGCTTAACCCTTTGACAATCATGTGTGGCATAACTGAAATGCTTTGCGGTGCCGCAGGAATTTCTAGTGAGCTTAAATACTCGTGGAGGTGCCTTCAGTGGCTAGGAATACAACCTAAAAAATAGAATATTAGTTTGAATAAATTACATTCAATAAAATTAATTTGTAAAAAGTTAAAAGAGTCTTTAAAATCTAAAAATTATATAATTTTAAGGGTCGATGGAATGTACAAATATAAGCTATACAAAATCTTTGACAATGCTTAAAAAAGGAAACAGTAAAAAAATATCCAAGAACAAATCTTTTTAAAATGAATGACCATAATTCAAATTCTTCACAATAAAAAAAAATATTTTATACTAATCTACTGATAATATGTGATGGATAGATAGATTTACAGAGTTCTAATAACATATATATTGTGCGCATGGGTTCACTGGGGTTAACTGCCTGTTCACACAAGCAAATTAAACCCGGCGACCTCAGCTGATTGAATCACAGTTCCGCCTGGCTTGCGAATTTCCTCTGATCGGTTTTCCGCTTTTTCTCTTTTTTCCGCCTGCAGGTTGGAGGCGCCGCCGCTCTTCACCGCGGGCACCATGGACGCGAAGAAGCTGCAGCAGCTGCAGGAGGCAGCGATCCTGGCGCAGCAGCAGAAGAAGCTGCCGCTGGCCTACCAGACGAATCTCGTGGACTACCGCACGGCGGCCTACAGTCAGGCGCTGTACCAGCAGTCGCCCACGGCCACCAGTTCCAGTGGCGGAGGACCCCTCTCCCCCATCGACATGCAGCCGCAGTCGAAGCACCACAACCTGATGAAGCACGGCGGTGGAGGAGGAGGAACCTCCAGCAGTTCGCACAGTTCGCCGTACCACCAATCGTATTCGAGTAGCGGTGGCACCGCCGGCGAGCAGCTGTACCAATCGCCCACGGAGCGAACCTACTTGGCCGCCGCCGGGAGATTGCAGGCCAGCAATGCCATGGCCGGACACCATCCGATTTCGGCCCTCCAATCGCAATACCAACAATTGCAGGCGGCCAAAATGCAGGCGCAGTTGGCCACCCAAAGTGAGGCTGCCCAGCAGCAGCAGCGAACGTTCGCCATGCGACAGGCCATGAACCCGCCCACGAACCATTACCATATGAGTCAGTCGCCCAGCATGGTGTCCAATATGACTGCCATGAACCAGCAGCAACAGCAACAGCAGCAACAACAGCAGCAGCAGCAGCAGAGAGCTCCTCCCTCTTCGCTTAATTTGCAAAATCAATACCAACCTGCTCAGGGTCCTCTCAAGTTGCAACAACAGCAGCAACAGCAGCAGCAACCTGCAATGCCCAAGCACTACCAGGAGCAATTGTACGCCCAGCAGCAACAGCTACAGCAGCAGTTGCAACAACAGCAACAGCAATTACACCAGCAACAGCAGCAACAACAGCAACAACAGCAGCAGCAACATCGCCACAAAAACGACCTGCAAACGCCGGGCAGTGAACATGGCACCGTGTACATCCAGCAAAATCATCCCGGTCATGTGGTGAACCAGGCCTGTCAGACCCAGATATCGGCGGTCAAGCCCAAGGCCACGCCCAGTTCGGAGGAGTCCTCCTCCTCGAACTCGGCCAAGAGTCCCAGTCACGCGCCATTGGATCGAAAGAAGAGTGCCGGTTCGATTCAGGCGCTGAAGTCACCGATTACCAAGCGACCACCCTCCACACCGGTGACCCTTTCCGGTTGGCTGCACAAGCAGGGCTCAGACGGGCTGAAAGTGTGGCGCAAGCGGTGGTTCGTCCTGGCCGAGTACTGCCTGTACTACTACAAGGGTCCGGAGGAGGAAAAGCTGCTGGGATCGGTGCTCCTGCCCTCGTATCGCGTATCCGCCTGTGTGCCCGAGGACAAGATCTACCGCAAGTTCGCCTTCAAGTGCGAGCACCAGAACATGCGAACCTATTGGTTGGCAGCGGATAACTCCGAGTCCATGATGCAGTGGGTCAGAGCTCTGGCGGCGGCCAGTTTGATGCAGGCACCCAGCAGCGGGGAATCGGAGCCGAGTGTTAACTCCTCGCTGAATCACAGTGGCGAGAACTCGGATTCCGGCATTCATACATTGCAATCTCATCCGGGTAAGGGACAACCGACGCCTTCGTCCTCGGAAAATACAGGCAGCACTGGAGGAGGAGGAAGTGGAAGTGGACAACCTCTGTATGCCAATGCACCACCCAAGCCCAGAAGGATCAACGATGGTGGCTACTCCTCACCTTCGCCCGAGCACAACGAACAACAGCAGCAGCAGCAGCAACATCCTAGTCGCCGCATTATGTCGCCCACGCAGCAAATCTATCAGCAGCAGCAGCAGCAACACCAACGATCTCAGCAGCAGCAACAGCAGCAGCAGCCGCAGCAACATCATGCCATCTACGACACGCGAACGGGTCACGTTTCCACAGCGTTGCAGTTGCAGCAGGCGCAGCAGCAGTACTCCTTGGATCATCTGGAGGCGCAGTTCCAGCAGCAGCAGTTGGACATGGAGGAGCAGATCGCTCGGTTGCAGCAACAGCGAGCAGCAGAGGAGATCTACGGCGAGCGTGAGATGTACATGGCCAAGTTAATGCAACAGCGGCAGGGTCCCAATGGGGCATACCCCACGCAGCAGCAACTGTTGCAGGCGGAGCGGCGAACTCCGGATGCCTACGGGCGATCCAAGCAGCAGCGACTCTTTGCCGCCGCAGCAGCAGCAGCGGATTACGAGGACATCTACAACATGTCGCAGCTGGCGGGCGGAGGAGCCATGTCCGCCCAGGAGGCGCTCATGCAGGAGGCGGCCAGCTACCGCCGACCGCTCAGTCCGCCCAGCTACGATGGCAGCAAGCACGTTCCAGCGATGCCGCAGCGGTACACGCCCAACCATTTGGAGGTAAGTTAAACAAAATATAGGGAAGTTATACTCTAAAGAAGATTAAGTAGAAATTATCATTTAAGGTAGGCAAGTTACTGTAGAATGGGAAAATAATTATCATATAATTATAGGAAACAGGTTTAGTTACCTAAGCACAACAGATTTTTGGTTTTGTACATGAAACTTTGCAATTCATTTTTAAAATAGTTTTTTAAGGCTTTTCACAACTGAGAATTTCCCATAGAAGATATATTCGTGTTCTGAATTAAAACTTTACCTTAACAGCAACTTGAATCGCAATCATCTTATTAAAGCCTCTTTTGAGCAGAAAAGTAATGAGGGGAAAAAGATGTCATCAGAGAGAGGATTTAATGGCACAAACAGCGAGTGCAATTCTCAAAGGCAATCAAAATGGCAAACCACTGCCCCCGGGGCAGCAACGATCTGCGATTCCGATTGCGATTGCGAATGCGATTGCTATTGCTGATGACCTGCCACTTGGCGTTGCATCCCCGGCTTTATGGGTACTTTCAGCTGGGAGCTGCGAGCGAGGGGGCGTGGCAAGGCGGGGGCCAAAGGTCAGCCCACCAAATCATCTGCGATGCCACTTGATGTTGTCTGATTGCCGCAAGTCGTGGCAACTGCAAGTGGCAGCACAAAAACCAGGGGAGCGCAACCGAGGAGGGGGCGTTGAATATGATGGGGTTTTATTTCCTCACCTCTTCTCCCCTGACCCCTGACCTAGTTGCCAAGTTTCTGGCTGAGACTTGCACCTCCGCACGTATCAGCTTTTCACTTTTATTTGCCCTTGCAGCCACGGCAACCTGCTCCTTCCGAGATAACTCCTTCGCCTTCGTTCTCATCATGCCCCACCGACTCCATAAAGCCAGCGCACACACAAAAGCCGCCGCTTGCCACCGAAAGTGCCTCCTCCATTGATGGACGGCAATGGGAATGGAAGTGGGGATTGGGAGTGGAGAACACCTCCAGAGTCTTTCTCGGAAAAACTTTCGGTTTCAAGCAGCTGTCTCGAGTTCGCCGCTCACAATTTAATTGGACTTTAGTGTGTCAGTGGGTTGCTCGCTGAATTGCTGACGTTTCCCCGAAAGGAAGAGGCTCCGCGTCTCCCTGATTCTTGGCCACCACCACTGCTGCAATTCCCTTCGAGTGCAACTTTATGCGGAGTGCAGTGGGTGGGTGGGGCAGCAGTGTTTAGTGGGTCAGGTCAGGGGGTCCTAACAACTTAGCCGGCAAATGAGTCGCGTGCATGATTTATGGCCGCGGGTTCCCGGCCAAGAGACCAGCTGTGCCGCCTCCAAAGTGTCGAACAAGTTGCGAGCCACGCCAGTCTGACACACTCGAGCAAAGAGCTGGCCCAAAACTTTAAAATTGCTTTTATAAGAGGAGTTACAAAGGCTTAATATTACTTTTAAGACCAATTTTGCATACCTAAACTTTGAAAATTAAGGTATCATAAGTATGAAGGTGGAAAGAACCAAAAATATCAGTTGCTTGAAAAGCCTTTTAAAATAATGAGGTATAAAAATTTAAATACAACGAAATTAAAATGAATGGTATTTATGTAATGAAATGATGTATAATATTTAAATAAGAAATCTTTATAGTTACAAACTCTTAAAATATTTATTTAGTAAGTTGTTAGTTATAGTTTATTTATAGTAATTGAGTCTTCAAATTTCTGCCAGTGCATTCACTAGTTAAAAATGCAAAAACCCAATTACCTACTGTGCCATTACATAACCCTTTCTAACCTGCTCCGCCTCTTGCGTTTTTCGTTGCCTCTTTTTAGGCCAGCGGTGCCGATCAACTAATCAATACCATGGACTTGCGTGCCCGCTCGGCGGCGGCCATAGTGCGTCCCCATTCGGCGGACTTTCTGGAGTACGAGGCGCGTGCCGAGGCGGCTGCAGCTGCCGCCGCTGCTGCAGTGGCACAGAGCCAGCTGGAGAGTGGCAGGGCTCCGCGGCCCAAGTCCAGTTTGGACATCAATCGCACGCCGGACAGCTTCTACTACTCGGAGGCGAGTTACGCGGACAAGATGCGGAAGAGTGCCCTCTACCTGCAGAGTGGCGGAGCTGGAGCGGCTCAACCGCAGCAGGCGGGCAACTACCGCACGGCAGCTGGGGATTTCAACTCCGGGGTGAACACCATTGGCTACGAGAATCCCTACGAGCGGGCCTACAAGCGGCAGGAACTTTTGGCCGAGGCACAGGCGCAGGGAGGAGCCGCCAGTAGCATGCCACGGATGAGCAGATCCGCCAGCCAGGGACGCTCGGTGGCCTCCCAGCTGCAGTCTCCCCAGTCGCAGGAGGATCTGCCCCCACTCAACGTGCATCCGGGTTCCATTTTCCCGCCATCGATGTCCACGCAGGAGATCATCAGCAAGAACGAGCAGTTCCTGCGATCCGCCAGTGCTCGTCTGCCCAAGAGATCTGGCGGCATGGACGATGACTACTCGGCTGGCAACTCCACTACCACTTCACCAACTGGAGGAGCAGGTGCCTCCAACTCACCGCAGCACAATCAGGATGGCGAAAGGAAGCGAGAGGAGTCCATGAAGCGGCTGCTCGAGTGGAAGCAGCGCATGCTGCAGTCACCTTTGACCCGGAAGGGCATCCAGCAGGGCGGCAGCAACATGTCCGCAATGTCCAAGCTGGGCAGCAATCCGAACATCCTGCTCGCCTCCACGGCCGTGGCCAGTGGAGCACGCTATGCCCCCCAGGCGGGCAAAACTGGACTGGTGGGCAATGGAAATGGTGGTGCACAGGGAGGTGGCAACCAACCTTCGACCTCTGGTATTCAGCGATCCCGATCCGATAGCCAGGCCAACGTGGGACCCGGCGGAGTGGTGTACAACAACTACTCCTCCGATGACGAGGGTGAGTGCCACTGGTCAGCGATGACCTCCTATTCGTACTCCCCATTCTGCTTGGCTTCAACTCTGTCCCTTTGTAAAACGTCTATATCTTTTCTGTGACTGTCTCTATTTCGTATATATAACTACGTTTGTGCGAAAGTTAATTCACAAAATATGAATATAATACTTGAAAAGTAAAAAATCAAGTTCAATTAGTAAACATATTTAAATTATTAAATTAAAATCAATTACTTTGAAAGATCAATTTTTTAATGACGGTTATTTAATGAAAAGATATCTCTTTTTTTCCATTTTTTACTCCCAACTTTAAATTGTGATGAGTGAGTGAAATACATTTTAATCAACTAGCAGCTATCAATTAACAATTTAAATGTCTGTAAAGTAAATAATGAAACAGCAAAACTTTTTCTTTTATGTCTTAATAAAGTACATTTATAAATTGTGTTTACTCAACAAACAATAAAACTTTCGCATAAACGTAGTGAGTATCTCTATCTGCATCAGTATCGTAACGTATCCGTAGCTGTATCTATGTATCTGTATCTATAGCTGTTGCTAACCGCGCTGCGTTCCTTACTTTATCTTTACTCTTACTCTTACTCTTACCATATTTTGCTGTTGGCTTCGCTTTCAGTTAGTTGCATGTTATGTGGCAGGCCTTGAGCTGCCTGCTTTTCGCTTTACTTTGTAGTCAGACCAAGTTGCTTACTTTTAATTGCGAGCTGCGCTCCCCTTCCGCCTGAGAACTTTAGAAATCTATAAATAAAGGACCTCGTCTGCCTTTGACAGCAGACTTTCTCTGCTGTAAAACATTCATAGAACTGACCATTAACTATTTATAAGCCTTACCATTTTCAATGCTAATTAAACGTGTCCAGACGCTAGACTAAATAATTGAAAGCTTCATGTAGTTAATAACTGTGTGTTTTTGCACTATTTTGTGGCCTTGTTTTATGTCTTAATAAATACGTATAATTATAATATACAAAACAGAAAGCAATTTATGTCGAAAATTGAAAGCAAACAAAGATACCTTCCTGCCGTGCGCACACAACTACACACAATCACACACACACACACACACAAAAAGACAGAAGCAAATTGAAAAGTATCGAGTAATCAATTTAGAATTGCTGCCAAAAAGTAGGCAACACGTAGTACCAACTGCTGGCCAAGTTTAAATTTGTTGGCCGAAAACTAAAGTTAAAATGTACACAAAGATTTTTTGTTTTTTTCTCTCATTGGAAAAAGGAGGGTAAACCGTAAAACCAATATTTCTGTAGTCCATAAATCTCTTTCTATATTTGGAAATCTCTATCTTTCATGGGTTTAGTAAACATTTTTGGCGTAGTTTCGTTTCGTTTCGTTTCGGATTTGTTTCATTCATTCATATATACATATGTTTTTCCATCATGACAAACGGGTGCTTGGTATTTCCACTACTAAATGCCGCTGTAAACTTCGCACTAAAACCCAATAAAACCAAAAAAACAATACAAATAAAACCAAATTAAACTCAAACTCAATCTGGGCTCATAGCGCAATCGACCACCCATTTGATTGATTTTAATTACATACCAACCAGCAAGATATACAAAAATGTTTTATATTTCTTCTTTTTCCATACCGTACATAAATAATTCGTTGTGTATACGTTGAACTTTGGTAACTCTTAAACATGAAAAAAAAACGAAATATTCCTCAATTTGTAAATGCTGTAAAACTCGCAATAAAAACATTAACAAAACGCACGAATCGCTAAATCGCAGCTGGGCCTGTGGATGATAACTTGTATAGTGCGACGGCAGGAAGGTCAACGTCAAAAGCAAAAGCAAAAACAACAATCGCTTCGCAGGCAATTGTGGCAACAACAACAACAGCGGCGTTAGCGGTAACAAACCTTAGTAGCAGTAACAGAAATCTAGAGAGTCCCAGGCCAACAGAAACAACATCATCATCATTATCACCAACGCCAACAAAAGCTGGCGGCAATGCAAGTGCAAAATTCCAACTGAAACCCATTTTGAAAGTACACGAGGCCAGCAAAACCCGCATTATTCAGGTGCAACCCAAACAAAACGAAGAGAGGCCAAAGCTCCGATTGCAATTGCCCAGGGACAACAAGGATGTGGAACAGGAGAAGGAGGAGCAGGAGATGGATAACCAGGATGTTAATGCGGAGTCCGTGCCCATTTTGCCAAAGAAAACGGCTCCCAAGTCGCCGCAGAATGCCAATTATGTGCCCGTGTACAACAACAAGCTGGTCAGCAACTACGAGAACATGGAGTTCGGGAAGCCAACAGCCGAATGCAAATCCCCGGAGGGCAATGCAGCGATTACCGATCCCGAGGAGACGCCCATGCTGATGCAACTCAAGTTGTTCAAGGAGCAGCAGGAGCAGCAGAAGCAACTGGAACCAGAACCAGAGGATTTGGAGGACCTGACTCCGACAGCGGAAAGTAAACCCATTCCGGGGGAGGAGAGAAAAGAAGTTGAAAAGGAGCAGCCATGTATGCAGGATGTGGAGAAACAGAATGAAGAGGAGGAGGAGCAGGAGGAGGAGGAGGATGAGAGCACCGCCTGCGAGGAGTACACCGATGATGATATAGACGAAGCCCTCGCTCAGGACGATGATGATATAGAAGATACCACTGTGGCAGCCAAGGAACAAGCGGAGGATAAGGAACTGCAGCAGATATATGTCAACGAGCCCATCACGCCCACGGACCAGCAATTCGACGAGAGCCACTACCTGCCCATGACGCCCAAGAAGGTGGAACTGGGTCAGCCAGGTGTCCTCACTCTGGTGGCCACACACGAAACTTACGCCGAGGAGGAGGAGAACCACTACGTGGAGATGACGAAGGGCATCGAGGACGAGGACTGCCGCAGCAACTATGAGATAATGTGCCTGGCCAGCAGCAGCAGCAGTTCAGCGAGTGCCTTTAAGTTCAACGCCAAAACGGAGCCCGTCTACATGGAATTGTCGGGGGTTAAGGCATCTACTCTGCCCTCCAATGAGGAAGCCCACTGCTCCTCGGGTCGTTCTACTCTGAAGAAGGGCAAGAAATCGGGCACGGAGACTCTGAAGAAGAAGACCAAAAAGCGACAGGGCAAGGACATGCCGGATATCCTTAAGCCGGCCAAAAGCGCACTGGCTTTGGCCAGCGACAGTTCGGATGCGGATGACGAGAGCAGCAGGCAGCAGCTGGAGGCCAAGAAACTGCGCTCCAGATCACGTTTCAGTTTGTCGGACACTTTTAGGCCAGCCTCGTATTACTTGGGTGCCTCCACGCCCCTCAATAATTATGCGGAGAGTTCGGATAGTGAGATACTGCCACCACCTCCCATTCCAGATTCACCACCACCCATGGAGGAACTCAAAACGGAGGAGATATTCTCCTCGGAACATTATGATACAGTGAAGCGAAAGGACAGCACTGGTAAAGTGAACATCTCCTACGAACAACTGCCTAAGATGCATGCCAGCAATACTTCGTTGAATCTTCCAAAAGCTGTTCCAAGTCCTACTCTAAAGAGTAGTAGACTCTCCTTACCCGATCACTTTACCAAGGTTAGAGTTACTCCACAGAGATTGCAGATGGCTCCTAATCCTCAGCAGCAACATCATGCTCGAACTTTATCCGATTCCAATTATAGTTGCCAGTTAACAGATAATAGTAGCTCACGTACCTCCTCCGATTTGGATCTATATAGAAGGAGGGGACAGCAACCACAGCAGAGATGCACCAGCAACAACTCACTTCCCTTGAGCAGTGAAAATGAGTCCGTGGAGTTCCGGCAGAGATCCGATTCCGAATTGGATCGTCAGCGTTCCAGGAGACCACTTTCCCAGGAATCTATTAGCGAAATTGAATCCCTAAGCGAGCAGTTTGAGGAGACCCTGAGTAGCCACGAATTGGACACCTACCTGAGTCATCTGCACCTTTCGACTGGACAAGCCACGCCCACTAGTCACCTCCTAAACGATGCTAATGCTGCCGCAGGAGCGGATATCCTGACCAATCTCATCAAGCCACCGAAGACATTCCGTAATGCCGAGGACGAGGAGCAGCACTTCTATGGGAACATTCACTTTCTCTCCTCCACCGATTCCATTCAGCAGTTGGGTGAAAGTGGAGCAGCAGCTCTGAGGATCCTGCACAGTCGGAATAACAGCAATATATCCACCCAATCAGCTCCTTACTACTATTCTGAGTTACCAGCACCGCCTCCTTTGAATAACCAGCGGGATATCCACGCCCATGGATTGAACATCGCCCACATCCACAATCCCATCGATAGACACCAGTTCAATGTGGATGCCTTGGTGGAGAAGGATCAGGCAATCGATAGTAAGAACATTTACAGTGGCCAAAAGGACAACAACGAGAAGCTGAGCAACAAGAATCTCAAAATGAACAACCGACAGCTGGTGGAATCTACAGAGATCCCGGAGAGCAGCGGAGGTAGTGGTGGTGCACTAAACCCGGTCCATTCATATCCATTCACAAGTACTAAAAACACAAATCTCGCTCGTAAGACGATTGGTGGTAGCAACCCGTCCGATGATGGAAACCCTAACGATGGTGCTGGTGAAGATTCGGAGGATGAGGAGTCGGAAACGAAAGCCACACCGAATAATGTGCATCCCAACCTCTCAGTTTTAGGTGGCGAGTTGCTCTGGGAGGAGGACGCCCTGTGGCGGGAGAGTTTGCGAAGGGTTAGCCAGCGGCATGCGAGATCCCTGGATGATCTGGACAGGATTACGGCAGCTCCCCCAGCTGCCAGTACACCCAAAGCGAAACTGAGTCGCGAGGTGACCTATGTGAATGACAGCCTGAAGCCGCGACAGCATCCAGTGAGCAACGAGCACGATGTCTATGTCCAGCTGATGGCCAACTCACCGCTTAATCAGAACCAAACCGATTCCGATGTGTACGAGGTGCTGCGCGAGGAGACCGCCTCGAATTTGTCGCACAAATCGAATGAGCTGGATCGCGAGACCATTCGCCAGTGGGATGCCATGTCCAGTGGCCTGATGAAGAGCCACCACCACGGGAGTGGCGAAACCACAGGAACGACAGGAGGAGCAGCAGGAGGAGGAACACCATCAGGAATAGGAACACCATCAGGAGCAGGATCTGCCCACCTGCCCCTCACTTCGAGTGTGCGTTCCATCGTCCAGCAGTTGAACAATAGTGCTGTCGAGGATGCCAACGGCAATCCCCTGGCGATGGGAAAAAAGTCGAGGACGAACAACAACCACTGAGGCCACCGCAGGCAGGATATCACTCCTGCTCGCCGCCGCCCCAAAAAATATGCAACACTTTTCGTAGTTTCAATTCAGATTCTCGCTCTCCATTTGCCATTTTTGGTTTTCGCACTCTGCGAGTTATTTAATGTGTCTGTTGTGTATTTGCCCATCATGTTTTCCAGTTTAGATAGTGCTATTTGCTCTATTTGTTTTGTTGACTGTCACTGTTGTTGTTGTTGTTGTCATTATTGTTGTGTTGTGTTGTTTTGTTTAATTAATCAACTGGTAAGCAAACTTATATATTTTTATTTATGAAACCCACTTATCTCATTAAGTCATTGAAGCGCTTGTACATATTTACGCCACTCACTCACACATTCTCACCCAAGCACCCATCCACCAAATCTGTAAAGTTGAACAAATCCATAGATAGATACTTTTTGGGGCAGTTGCAAATATAGCAAGTAGGAGCCAACAGCAGCAGCCACAGATAAAATACATGTTGCAACACATTCTTTTTCCACACAAACGTAGTCTCGACAAAAAAAAGAACTAAAAATGTAAAACAGAGCCACAAATTACAAGCCAAATTAAATATTCCGTACAACTGCTGGGCATTCGCTAACCGATAACTGATTGCTTTCCTAAATATTTCGCGCACGCATTGAAACTATTTTAAGCCCGCCTCCCCCGAACATCCGAAATATTTATCTAATTAATCCTATTCGAAATTGTAGCCTCGATTTCGGTGCGCAATGTGAACAATCTGCCGGTGGGCAATCTCACCGTGAAGCCGGATCCCTCGGATATGCAACACGAATCCGCATTCACTCCGTATTACGGCGGAGCTGTGGAGACCAAGTACGCCAAGAACACCGTGCTCACGGATCGCGGGTTGTACGCCGGAAACGGAGTCGGATTGACCACATCCACGCCCCAAAATCATCAGCAGTTCCGGATGAGGCGCACCGGAAGCAGGGCGGAAATCGATATGCTGGAACGCGAGACGAGCAGCCAGATCAGGGTAAGTTCACATTTACAGAGGGATAACCTTTGCGTTTAATTTAAAAAATATTCCCAATATTTGAAAGTTTAAAATCCCCTCTTAAACGCAGGAATCACTATAATGCAAGCATAATTTTAGCATAGAACAGGAAACCAAATTAAATTTTAATTAGATATTTCCATTATTGCTAGCGGTCTTTTATTTTCCTCCGTTCGCATAAATCTGGTGGAAATAAGCAGAGTTTATATTTCTGTAGTATAACCAAACAGAATAATTGTCATGAAAATTCAGCTCTTCTACTAATTAAATAAAATTATAGTGACACATAAAGCTTGCCTCCATTGAATTAAAACTATGGGTTATAAAGACAAAAGACAAAAACCAAACCAAAATAATTATAGCAAATTAGAACACAATGCAATAATAAAGCTTTCCGCTAATTTTAAATTTTATTTTTTTGCTACCAATTAAACCAAAAGTTCTTAAAGGGATGTACGATAAATTGCTTTGCAACTCGTTGTTTATAAAATATGGTGGTAAACAACTAGAAGCAGTTGCTTTTGAATTTATTAAAGCTTTTGAATGGAATAGCTACCAATTGGGGTTAGAAATAGAAATGTTGTTTGTTTTTTTGGGGGTAGAAACGAATTAATTTTAATAAATTCACAAAACCCACAGAACTTGGATGTGTCGGCCGGGGATTTGCTGAGTAGAACCCACGAGGAGCTGGTCCTCCTGCTGATCCAATTGAGGAGACAGAGCAGCCAGACTGCCAGGGCGATTGAACAGTGCTGCAGCGATATTCACGATGTGCAGGTGGATAAACAAATACAATTCCATGTTTATCGTTGGGCGGTTTTGGCTTACTTCTGGTGCTGGTTCTGTGACTAACTCTATGCTTTATCTATCTAACTTTATTAAATATTAAAAATTATAAAATGTTCCTTAATATACCATATTACATAATATATTTAAATCTCCTCAGAATCGATTGCGAGGAGCCGAGGGTTTGACCAGAGCCGAAAGCATCCAGCGATTGGACTACTTGAAGCAGCACCTTTTGGACTTGGAACGGCACTATGAGAAGAGCAAGCCACTGGTCAATTTGGTGGACAACATGGTCAAGCTGGGATCCCTGTATCGAAATGATGCAAATGGTAGGGCCCAACCAGCCACTTTGGATCGCCTGGAGTTCAATCAGCGAATGCAGGAGCGACAAATGTTGCAGGAGGAGCAGCAGCAGTGGGAGCGACTCAGTCCCAATCAGGCGGAGCTTCAGGTAAGTTTTCAGAATATGTATTCAGTAAATAATGAACAAAATATTATATAGTGTTCTTTATAAAATTTTAAGATAAATTTCTACAGAAAAAAGCGCAATGCAATGAATTTTAGACTTCATAACATTTATATTCCTTTTTCCGAATTCAGGCCAAGGTGCGTGAGCTCTACCAACTGGATCAGCTGCTGCAGGAGGAGTCCGGCACCCTGCAGAGTCTGCAGCGGGACAAGGAGGACCTCGAGCGTGCCTTGGGAGGATTGAGGGCCCGCATCCACGACAGCAATGCCACGCCCATGGCCTTGGAGGCGGCCAAGAAGCAGCAGCACATCCTGGAACGCGAATTGTCGCGGGTCCATCAGCTACTCGCCGAGAACTCAAAGGTATCAAAGGTGCCTAGTAGAAGTTTTTTGCATTTTGTGTCCAGCTGCGTGTTTTACTTGTCTGCTTGAGCTTCGCATGTCGCTTATGTAACTAACAAAAAACTAATTTTTTAGGATTCATTAAAAGCAAATATTTGAAAGAGTATTACTTAAATTCACAAAAGAAAGTAAGGAGAATAGACAAGCAAAAAGTTTTTAGTTTTATAGTGAAAACAAAGTCAGTAAAACTATTTTTTCAGCCAATCAATTTTATTGCACTTATACAAGTCATTATTAATTCCGTTTTTTTTTTTGCATATCAATCATATTTAATATCAACAATTTTTGTTATTCCTGTTTGTTTTACATATTTGAGCAGGGAAAAATGAATTTATTTAACTAAAAAATAATAAAAATATATCATTCAATATATGTAATTAATAAACGCTTGAACTAAGGAATATATTATGTGAATTTTATAACAATTAACTTTAGATGTGTATACAGTATACCAGGATTACCAGGATAGGATTTTCTTTCCTACAAAAAAGGTCAAATCAAGAGCTCAATTGGTAGGATTAATGCAAAAGACTTCTCGTGTTTGTGGCCGCTGCTGCATGTGTGCCTTCCCCATGAAAGAATCACCCAATTAAAACGTTATTCTACCTTGCAGAAATTGGAGCAGACAGTGGCGGGAAACGCTCGACTGGAGCAGGAGCTTCTCCTCCTCCGCCAGAAGGTTCAAGCTACAAGAGGAGGAGCCATCAATGGAATTGGAGGCGATGGCCCGCACATTAATGGCGACCAAAATGCCGCAGTTTTGGCATCGGAATTGGAGCGTGTGCAATCTCTGGTTGGCGATATGCAGAGGCAACGCCACGAACTCAGCTCGGCGGTTCGTCAACTCACGGAGAACTCGACCAGGTTGTACCAGGAAATTGGCAACAAGGAGATGAATGGCGGTGGATCCACCAATGGCAGTCTGAAGAAGCGCAGCAATTCCACAAGTTGGACCGAAACCGATTTGGATGCCAATATGTTGAGATGTGGAAGTCGCCAGCAGCTGAATGACTCGACCTTGAACCTATCCACTCCCCTCTACGTGGACACCAATAGTTCCACCAAGTTGAGTGACTATAACCGATACAATGGCGGTGGCAGTAGCGATGCTTTGGAGATGAGCGGAGTGGACAGCGATGGCTTTCTGGACAGCAATCCATTTGCCATTGGTCTGGAGAAACCGGAAATCAAGACAGTGAGGATTGTGAAACGTGAATCGGAGCGGAGGAATCGCGATCGCAGTGAAAGGGGTTTGAGTAGCTCCATTCAAAATCTGGATCAGGTTTTGGAGGAGGAACAGTATGCCCAGCAGCAGAGGGAACAGCAGCAGTTGTATGCCCAGCATCTGGAGGATCAGATGAGCAATGGCCACCACAGTCGCTCCAAGTCGCTGCCACGCAACTACAGTGAGCCCCCGAAGCAGCGGCACAGTCGTCACCAGCAGAATGGCAAGCAGAATGGACACCACTACAGCAATGGCTACGACTACGATCGGAACAGCAACTACGAGCACCAGCCACCACCGCCACCGGCACCACAGAGCAATGGCCACCACCACCACCATTCGCAGAGGGACTCGCAGCGGGAGCACCTGAATCCACTGGCCAATGCCTACTTCGCCAAGCAACTGCAGCAGCAGGTGAATCCCTCGAGGGACAGTGCCCGAGTGGCTCTCCGACCAAAACGGAGTCATTGCAGAGCCTCAACAAGAGCCTGACGGACATTTCTCCGGAGCCAGTGTTCCAGAGCGTGGCTGCTCGCCAGATCATCAACGAAATGTCCGCGGGATCGGCTTCCGAGGACACCGAGAAGGTGGTGGAGAAGGTTCCACCACACCACAAGCACAGAAGGGCTGTTCCTCGGGAGAAGAGGCGACACTACACTGCGCCAAACAATGTCAACCAGAAGGCCATGGAGAAGGTGCAGGCCGAGAACGATATGAATCGGAATGTAAGTGGTTTGGGAAAACGATAGGGATAGAGATACATTCAGAAATGGTTTCTTCAGGATTAACATGTTGTTTAATATTTATTTTTCATATTTTAGAATACCAACTGGCGTGCTCGTGATGATTTGGACATGGAGGTGGCTTTAAGACCTCGTATGAATGCCCCTGATGTGGTTCGTTCTGCTTTGGGACAGGGAGAAAAGATTTCGGAGAATACCATAGACAACTTGCTGCTGGCACCCAACAAAATAGTTATACCTGAGCGTTACATACCAGAAACAGTAAGCAAAAAATAAAAATATAATTTACCATATATAATTTACTCATAATAAATTTTTATACAAAACAGACGCCCGAACTTTCGCCGGAGGAGAAGAAGCGCCGTCAGGAGAAGGTGGAGTCCATCAAGAAAATGCTCTCCGAGGCGCCCATAAGCAGCAATGTAAGTCTATTATTTTAGCAGTAGATAATATATTATTTAATATTATAAAATTATTATTTAAACCAGGAAAACGAGAGCCTGCCGCCGAGCAAAATCACCGCCGAGAAGAAGCAGCGCGAACACCTGCTGCAACTGAACCAAATCCTGGCCCAGCAGGTGATGCAGGTCAGCAAGATTGTGGCCGGTAAGTACAGTTGACCCAGGATTAGTTTAGGTCTCCTACCAGCAGATTACCTTTGCGTTAAGTTCCAATCGATATCCCAAAAGCAAACCCCAAATTCAAACGTATACGCAATGCCTTGCAGTTGAGTTTTCGTTCCATGTTTATGTTCTTACTAATACGCTCTCCGAATCGAAACAGTTATCTACCAATATATATGTATATACCTAAGCGTTAATTCAGTGTAATCTAACCATGCCAGAAGACCCCACCATTTTCAAACTGTCAACTCTATGCTCTTCTAATCTCTATATATGTATCTTCTTTCGACTCTTTCTGATTTCTAGATGATTAATGATAATACATATCATATGCATACCATCTAATCTAAAGCGTTAAGCCCCCGTTCGAAAACGAACCCCAAGATCATGACCCCCACCTCATTGCGTGCTCACCGGCGTCTACCAAGTTCATAACCCCTTCTCACAACACACAATATTCCACCCACACTTCACTTCAGACACTTTCAACAGTCAATCGTACATTTCAAAACATTGCCAGTGGCCAAAACCCACATTGCCCTCTCATGCATTCGCATTCGCATCCGCACCCGACCAGTTTATGTATAATTAATCATAAATTAAGTAACCATCGATGAGAGTTCCATGAACTTCCGCAAGATTGCATATTTCACATATTGCGCATACGCAGTGTTGCCCGGCCCAAAAAACATATCAAGCTAAATAAAAGAAATTTTTTGGTCTTTTCGAATGGAGGGAATTATATTCATTATTTTTATATTTATTATATTTTAAAATATATTTTTGAGGTATATATTTACTGTTTAACTAACTTATATACTTATTTAATTATTGTATCATTTCCTGCATTTGCATTCGTATAATTTTATATGTTTATTTGTTTGTTTTGCATATTTTTCTAGGAAATCCCACTAGTCACAACTAATCCGCAAGTAGCCTGTCGAGTTGTTTATGTTCACCTTTTGTGTTTACCTTTGCATTGCATTTAATTTTTGTTCACGTTGTGTTTTTGCAATTCGATTACTGAGAGGGTTCGCATCACGAGACGCGATAAGAAAAAACAGAGTTTGTTGTTCGAAACATTCCAAACATACATATATGCATACCTAGTACGTTACACCTAAGTAAACAGTGACTACAGCAATAACAGCAAACAAGAACACACGCGAAGTTGAGATTTAAAGCATGCTAAACTCACGAAAAAATAAAAAACAAAATTAAACTCACTCCAAACAAAACGCAACAAATCACTACAAAAAATACTAAAACTTACAAAAAACAAAAAGAAAAACGATAACAAGAATAAACAGCAACGCAATAGCAACAAAGAACAAGTACAACAACAACAAGCACAAGAACAACAACAACAGATATACGATTGCGTAAGTCCAGGTTTGTACACGTTTCGATTATACGATATTCATAAATAAACAATAAACAAGTACTTAGCTTCCAGGCCATGCATTTTAAATATATAATCACGCCCAAAACTCTGCTTAGCCTAGAAATAAAATATTGGCCAAATTAATAAACCTGCACGCCATAACTATAATTGTAGCCGATAAGCTCCTAATGAGAACTGCACTCCAACACAAACCCACACAAAACCTAACAAACACAACAAAATTAATTAAATTAGCTAAACACCAAATGAGCACAAAGCTTAATAATATCACCAAAGTGCAATTATATTGGAAAGTCAGGAAAGAAAGGGATTAACAAAAAAATACAAACAAAAAGAAATAAAACTGATTTAAAAATTTTTGTGCAACAAAAATAAGGTCAGTAATTCATCTCGAAATTTAAAAATTAGTTTTATAAAGTATTAAAGCTTAGGGAAAAAATTGTATTTCCAATAAAGTAAATTTAAAGGTAAATTGTTTGCGAAAGTTTTGAAAACGAATTTAATGCAAATTGCTTAGTTTCCAAACTAAATTTCTGCACTGCCTAACATGCGTATAAAAGTTGTCCAAAAAGTCAAAGAGCGATAAATCGAGTAAGTATGGCTCAAAGCACCAGCTAAGACAGCAAAGCAGCTCAGACAGGAGTAGCAGCCAACACACAAATGTACTTCCTACAATCGAAGTTAAAAAAGAACACTCAAACCAAACACACACGATATATATATACTTCCGAATGGTTATCGGTGTACTTTTTTGTACTACAAACTTTTACAGCACGCTTGGGAAGGTTTTTGGTCTAAGAAAACAAAAATTTTGGACTTGGTAAACTAACTCTATTCTCATTTTGTCAACCCACAGAGAAAGCCATGTCGAAGGCGGCCGAGAGATCAAACCAAGATGATGAGCATCGATCGGAGTCACCAAGTGAACCACTGCCGATATTCCAGCAACGCGACAACTTTTACAGCTAAACACGACAACGTCAACTAATTAACTAACTCCGATTAGCGAATATATATGGTATATTATTCAGGCACAATATCCGCTGCATTTATCTTGAGAATCAAACTAGAAAATTTGCTAACAATTTTAACCGAAAATCGTATCAATTCTTGAATGTGACTGAGTTTTAGGAGCGTTACAAATATCTGTTGAAAAGACTACGGAAAATCGAAATCAGAGGGCGGGGGATGCGGGGGAAATTAACGAATTTTTGTGAGGCGATTGTTATTGCGTAAATGATACTAAGCATATTATTATTATATATATACAACATATACAATATGGAAATCAAAGATTCAACATATCACTGTAAGCGTGTTACAAGTCATTCAAACAATATCAATTACACACAATTAGAGGGCGTTCTTGAACTGTAGGAAATCGGATCGGTATATCCGCGTAGGGTCAGCAATTATGTACGAATTAAATCGGAGTTGAGGAGAATCAAACACGTTCCTGAAAGGCTTATAAAGTAGAGAGTGGCGGCAGGTCAAAACTTATTCACGACAACTAATACAATAACTTTGAAGACTTTTGTAACGGACTTTTCGAGAGTAGCGCATTTTCTCTACAAAGGAACAAATGAAAAACCAAACAACCAAGAAACCAACCAACCAACAGGCAGTTACATTAATTGTGCCACTTTTGGAGCCAATATTAATGCATTTGATATGAACAAGTTTTTAAGATCAGTCAGCAGAATATCAACAGCAGTGGCATCAAAACATCATTCCTATAGTACAGAATCTAGAACTCTGGCAGAACGCACAGCGCACTCAAAGCACTTTGAACCTTCGCAACTTTCCCCAAAACGTACCTATTGCAATTATTAATAACGGATTAATATAAATACGCAACTGAGGAAAATATAATTCAATTGTATTTTAACGAGAACATATAAAACGGCAATGCTGAATTACGACATGCATATATTAATTTAAAGCTATACATATTTAACGAGCATAATGCTATAATATACACAAACGTACACATAATTATTTAAATGTAGGTCAATTAGCCAGGCAATTAAAGGGAAGTGGATGAAGTCAAATATTTGATCATGTTGATGAATGTTTTTAAACAAAATTGCAATACAAGTCAATGGATAAAATAATACGCAATCGCTGGTTGAACTTAATGTCTATGTAACTTTAAAAGTTTACGAAATCGCATAGCTCTATTCACAATTATACATACTGAAATAATCGTACTAGCCCACAAGAACAAAAGAACAACGACGATAAATTGTTAATAGAGAGAGAGGAGAATCTAAATGGAAACGATCCCTGCAAAATTGTACAAAAAAACGTTTTAAGTTATTAGCTTTTAGTTGTTATTATCTATTGCTACGTATGGTTTAAGGTTCTTTTATCATTATCGCTAAGTTCCCAATGATTCCACAAGTTGTTTGTACATTTCGCGGTGCTATATGGATGTGTATATGTAAATTATTTGCTGTCAAGTTTTCCCCTAAGTTTGTGCACCCACAGAAAGAATTAAGGCAAAGTCAAATTATATATATAGATATATAGACACTGTCAGAAATGTAGATTGTCGGCTTAAAATTGCTATTGCACCAGGCATAGAAGCACTCATAATCGCCAGATACCGAAAGTAGGAGGGAAACCCATTTAAAAACAAACACTCAAAAAATATTTATTGCATATATATATATAAATATACATAAACATATACATAAATGCTGTACGTCATAATTTGATAAGAGTTGAAGACGATAAACTGCGAACGAGAAATGTTATCAATAAAGATTATAGTTGAAAATTCAATTGCGCCTTTGTCTCCATTGTAACACCCGAAGGTTTTACGGAACAGGAACTCGACTGGTCAATTATTGTCCAGCCTTATGACGAATCTCGGCCCCAATTGCCGGCTAAATTCAAGATCAATGTTAAGGGGCGGACTCTCCGTCTCCGCGCTCGTCGTGAATCACAATGAGCCCAGCCGCTGACAGCTCAACATTATATATTTATTTTGAATTGTATTCTGGGCCAACGCTTCTGGAATCACAAATAGAAACAGAAAGTCGCCGCTGCGGAAATGTTCGTGGGTGGAAAGGCAGATTTATCGGGTGAAATGTGGACCATTCGATAACTTTCTAAAAGCCTTATCACAGTTCGATATCACATTAGCATAATCGTGACTCTTGTGGCTCAGCGAATCGCCCACCAGGTGTTTTCTTGAGTATTCAGACTACACTCGAAAAGGTTCTGATATAAAATGTCAGGCTTTTTTAAGAAACTAGTATTTATGAAAAATATTTTTAGGCAATAGTCAACATTTTTAGATATCAAGTGGCTGTTCTTCTCTACTTGTTCTATTTACGCAACAATACTGAGTTTTATGGAATACTGTTTGCATTTTAACAATTAAATAATTAAAGTATAAATTTCACAGAATTGACTTTAATAATTTTCGGAATCAACTTAATTACACCTTCTTGACTTTCCCAACCCCAACTAGCTTGGTTTATGATCATAGTTATAGTTAGATTATTTCTTCATGTGTACTTCCTAACAATTTGCGACAGATGCGTTAATCTGCGGTGCTTTTTGCTTTGTCGTACAAACACTTTGAATGAGCTTCAATTCAGCGACCGCAAAATTAACAACACTTTGTCACACATTAACTGGCAATTAAGGTACGTTTGCGGCTATTCCAGACCAACATCGGCCCGTTGCAGGCTGGGCTAATTACAATACGCTCAAGAGACAACCGAGCTTTGCATGTAGACGCGTATGTAAATACGGTTTGGGTATTGAAAACCTGAATTATCATTGACCGATCAGGTTTATGGCGCTGAGCTCCGTTGATGCGCAACAAAAGCAACTCAAAATCTGAGTGAGTAAGGGAGCAGCAGATAAAAAAACCCCATCGGCGACATTGTCCAAGTATTAATTGTGCGGAATAAAGTGAGACGCCCCACGAGATTTAGTCGATGTTTTGCGACTAAAGAGTGCGGTTCAAGCAAAGCGTTCAAGGAAGATAAACTGGTTAAGTGGAGCAGCCCGAGGTATTCAGAGTGCCAGTATGTTAGCCTCGTTCTCCGTCCGTGTAAGTCCACAGCCCGTAAATTCCCAATCCCCGACACCATTTCAATCGCATATTTCACCCAGCTGGCGCTGTTCGCCGTGATAAGCTCGCAGACTCCGCAGCTCCAAGCTGCTCCGTTCCCAGGAATCGAGAATGCGTCAGTATCCCTATCTCTTGGTCCCCTATTTTCTCCGCTTTACCTGCCTATGTTTTTTTTTTTTTTGTTTTTTGTTATTCATTCCCGTTTTCAGGGCCTTCAGCAGCCAAGATTTATTGGCCGAGGAATCGGATGTCGTTCTTAGCCAGGTCCACGTCCAGCACAATCGGCATCGTCGCCATCACGGGGAGGGCAATTACCACGACCACCACCACCACCACAAGCGGCACTGGGATCAGCATTTTCCGGGTCCCGGCTCGGAGTGCCATCACCATGGCGGATTTGGGTTCGAGCATCCACCGCATGGACCACCACCCCACGGTCCACCCCACAGATTCGAGCCACATGGCTTTGAGCCCTTCCCAAATACTTTTGGAGCACCGGAGTACGAGGCGCACCAGCGACCATTTCAAGCGCACTTGGAGCCCTTTAAAGGTAAGTATTATTCAACAAAAAGAAAATAGCCTATATCATAATCAATAGGGAGTTAAATTTAATATGGGGTTAACATTTTCGAAATCAAGAGTGCTTTTGATTGTTCACACTTTACATTTATTTGCTTAGAACTTTACAAGCAAACTAAATCGTTTTTCTTTGTGTATTCGTTTTTTTTTTCTTAAAGCTTACTTTCACTATCTTTCTGATTATCATATTTGTCTTTCTTTTGCATACAAATTTGCTCTGTTGTTTACTTTATTTTATGGGATTTATATGACTTTACGGCATTGTATATACGCAAACACACTTATTCATAAATAAAAATTAAGAACCGTTTAGATAAATAATGCGGAACGTTGCCAAAGTAAATTTAGTGATAAATTTGTTTTGTTTTGACTAGTAAAATATAATTCTATTTTTTATATTATTACCTTCTGAAATTTTTGAACTATTTAAAAATTAAATTGGAAGTAAAAACATAGCACTTTTCTATTTATAAACCAATTTTAGTGCAAGATTTTAATAAATGCAATGATATCTTTCAGACGACAAAGAAGGACCTAAAGAGGTGATCAGGCAGCCCAGCCCAACCAGCGTAGCTCCTTCACCTGCACTACCTTCACCACCTGTACCACCCACCGCGCCGCCTTCAACCACCACCACAACCACCATCAGAACCACCAGCTCCACCACCTTGGCTCCATTAACCTCCAGCACAGAAGAAGCCCCCTTGGCGATCGACATTCGCATTGGGTGACGACCTAGACTTAAGCCGCGACTCTACTTAATATCTTGTGTCATTAAAGTAGCTAACAAAAAACCACAAGTTATCTATCCATTACCATTATAATCGGGCAGCGAAGCCTGGATGCGCACAGCGTAACATTATCCAGGCCACTCGAAGGGATCTTCGTTGGGGCCCTGAGTGAAATATATGGTAATTCTAGAGCATAAACAACGGCAGGGGGTGACAGTAAAATAAAATGCGAATGCAAAACAATCGGAAAGAAAGTGGCAAAACAACAAGCTGAAACGATCTGGAAATGAGCACATTGAGTCGGCTGAAATACAAAAGCCCGTTCTTCGCCCCGCGACCATTCCCGGTCTTCGGCGATTCTTCGGAGAATCGCACCGCTCACGCACTCTACGCAGGAACAAAGGCGCAATCCAAGAACCGGACTGCAAAAAAAAAAAAAAAACAAATACAGAGTGAAGAGTAAGAGCCTCCCACTATAAAAGTCGAGCTGATTTCAAGCTCGACTGTCATTTGACGCCAAACGCGCGTCGCACGCAGAACACCCGAGATATTCCCTCCGATTCCAGTATATTTTATTGTATTCAAGTCTTGGCTGACAAACGATCCTCATAGGAGCATTAAGAAATGGGTAAGCCTGACCGTGCATACAAAGTGCAAATCGGTGAATGAACTTGAGGCGTGCAGCATTATGGGCACACAACCTTAGCAGTTCCATAAACACAAACCCTAGCGGCGGATCGGTCGATTCACTTATCGACTCGGACTACATTCAATTATAAATGCACGTCACGCCGATCTCGAAAAACAAGTCGTAACTGGGAACCGGGAGAGGCTTTTACGATTCTTTTACTCAGAAAAGCAACAACGCCGCCGGGAGTGTTTCTCATCTCTCAGGATTAAAATAAACTAATCGGTGTGACTATAATAAGAAGAAAGAGTGCGATTTGAAGGATTTCTAAAGTTTCAGGCTTCAAAAGACAGCTTGAGCAATGAATTTAGTTTTATTATGGGATTTGTCAAATATTTTTAGGAATCTTAATATAAGAAAATCTTGTAATATTTATTTTTGAATTTGTAATTTTATTTAGTGCATTATCTGGGGCTCCTGCTGCTTGGAGTGCTCTGTTGTTGGCCAGCCGCCATTCTGGCCAATGATCAGCCTTCTCGAATCGTCTGCTACTTCAGCAACTGGGCTGTTTATCGACCTGGAATCGGTCGCTATGGATTGGAGGATGTTCCCGCCGACATGTGCACTCATCTCATTTACTCCTTCATCGGTGTCAACGACAAAAGCTGGGATGTCCTTGTAATCGATCCAGATCTGGATGTGGATCAAAAGGGATTCAGCAAGTTTACCCAGCTGAAGAAGAGCCATCCCAATCTGAAACTCGAAGTGGCAGTGGGTGGTTGGGCCGAAGGTGGTTCGAAGTACTCGCAAATGGTGGCTGTTCGGGAACGACGACTGAGTTTCATACGCAGTGTGGTACGCTTCATGAAGCAGTACAACTTCGACGGCTTCGACTTGGACTGGGAGTATCCGGGAGCCACGGATCGCGGTGGCAGCTTCGGGGATAAGGATAAGTTCCTGTACTTCGTTCAGGAACTGAGACGCGCTTTTGATCGCGAGGGTCGAGGATGGGAGATCACCATGGCAGTTCCGGTGGCCAAGTTCCGGCTTCAGGAAGGTTACCACGTTCCGGAATTGTGCGAGTAAGTAGATTTAATGTTCTTTTAAATTCTGGTTGAGGTTAATATTGTCGTGTTATTGTTAATTTCATAGATTCGTTTTCAAATGCGAAAAATGGGTTTGCTGCATATGAACCAAAATTCACTAGTTCTAAGTTCATAACTTTTATAATTTAAATCCGATTTCGATGCGGCATATCTCTTAAAGTTTGTATTTGAATTCTTTAACAAACTGCATAATTAAAATTTTTGTTTATTTTTTGGTCAATTTTTTAAAATTTTTGTTACAAGCCCTTTCCGAATTTACGAAAAGTGAGTTAGTAAGGGTATATAAGCTTCGGCTCACCGGAGCTAGCTTTCTTTCTTGCTTTAAATATTTTTTAATAAGACTAAAAATTTGTATAACCGTTTTTTTTTGTTTTTACCAACTGCATGTCAAGGCAACTTGCACAGGCCCTCTGTAGAGTTCCAGAACTTACGTTTCCCCTAATTTATTGCAGGTTGCTGGACGCCATTCACGCCATGACCTATGACCTGCGGGGCAACTGGGCCGGATTCGCCGACGTGCACAGTCCGCTCTACAAGCGCAAACACGACCAGTACGCCTACGAGCGCCTGAATGTGGTAAGTGGGATGCAAATCGGTCAAAGGACTGTGCAGGGGGAGGGGAAGGGGGAGGGGTTTTGGCTGATGGTGGTGCCAAACTAATTAGCGTTGCCATTCAAGAACGACGGCCTTGCACTGTGGGAGGAGATGGGCTGTCCGGCCAACAAGCTGGTGGTGGGCGTCCCCTTCTACGGACGAACCTTCACGCTGAGCAACTCGAACAAGAACTACAACATGGGCACCTACATCAACAAGGAGGCGGGGGGCGGGGCACCAGGTCCCTACACGAACGCCAGCGGCTTTCTGGCCTACTACGAAATCTGCACGGAGGTGATGGACAAGTCAAAGGGCTGGACCGTCGAGTGGGACAGCGAGGGAATGGTGCCCTACACCTACAAGGACACCCAGTGGGTGGGCTACGAGAACGAGGCCTCCATCCAGATCAAGATGGACTTCATCAAGCAGCGGGGCTACGCGGGCGCCATGACCTGGTCAATCGATATGGATGACTTCAATGGAATGTGCGGGCAGAGGAACGGTTTGATGCATATTCTTCACGATAACATGAGGAGCTATCGCGTTCCGGAACCAACAAGGGAAACAACACCTAGGGTAAATATGATATATATGAACTTATTTTATAAACTGTTCTAACGGATTATTATTATTTTTTTAGCCTGAGTGGGCAAAGCCACCAGCCACTCCTCCTAACCCAGATGAAGGCCCTATAATCCAGACTGAACCAGCATCTACCACTACCAGAAAACCAAAGCCGAAACCCAAGCCAACTGCAAGCCCAGTTAGCACAACTTCTGCACCTGTGACAATTGCCAGTAGTAGTACTCAAAAACCAACCACAAAGGTAGAAAACTATAATGAATTATATAACAGAATTTATTTTAACTATTTTTTTTAAATTTTTTTAGAAACCCAAAAAGCCCAAGAAGCCACCAACCACTACAACGACAACCACTACTCGTGCTCCTGAAAAAACCACTGAAGAACCCGAAGAAGTTGTGGATCCCGAGCAACCAGTGGGATCCCAGTTTGATCCCAGTGAAATCGATTGTACCAACCGGGACTTTGTTCCACATCCCAACTGCCGAAAGGTTAGTATTGCTCATAGGATTAATAAGACTAAAAATAAATGTAGAGTGAACGGTTGAGCCATTTAAAAAATATTGCATATTTTCTGGCTATGGCGACCAAATATGGCAATTATCGTTTATTTAAAGCATTTTGTTGCCAAGCTATTTTTATGTAAATCACAGAAATAAGTTGTATTAATTTGATTTAATTCTATTTATTTATTTTTTTACTATTTCTTACAGTACTTCCGCTGCGTCCACGGCAAACCCGTTGAGTTTGAGTGCAAGGAGGGCACCGCCTTCCACACGGTCCTGAATGTCTGCGATTGGATCGAGAACAGCGACCGCTACTACTGCACCCGCATCAAGAACAAAAAAGAGGGCAATGAGGCCCACTAACTGTCCCAAAATATATTTATAATTTATTCTAAACGCACACTTTAGCATAGGTTGGGAAAACTAATTTACACCTAGCAATAGATCTTTAAGTATTTTAATTAAATAGCAACATAGAGATATAAAGAAGATCGACCGGATTAGGCAGACGAGACGAGAACAATAACAATAAATATGAGTTTAGAGACCGATAAATCATAAACTAAACGAGCCGTTCAATGAAGGTGTGAGCCATCGTTTCGCAAATAAGATAATAAGTGAGGGGGCTAAACGTGCGTTACATAATGCGGCGATGAAATGGGGATTACGTATACGTAGTGCACCCTGCCCTGCCGCAATTCGGATGAGAATTTGGCAATTCTAATTACGCTAATAAACGCAATGACTTGGGACAGATTCTCACTTGTCCGCGGCGACGTGAGGTGAGCTGCACCGAGGATTTTCAGCCTTGGAACAACCAACCAGCGAACAGCTGTTCGTGCAATCAACCAAAAAAAATAGCAATGATAAATGCCACAGCGAGAAGTACAATTTCGATCCTTAAGATTTGGTTTTCATAAAAGAGTTTATCTGGTGAACGGCGAACGTGAGGGAAACGGAACTTAAGCATTTGTGACACGAAACAAATCGCAAAGAGCCCAAAAACTTGATTTCGAAATGTTTTTGGCTCAGAAGATGCTCTGAGTAATATGCGGAATGAGCACCATATTGTCTAAAATTAAACATTCCTCCAAAACGAAAGTGCCGAGAGAGAAAGTGGATCTTGGGCAAAGGAACTATCCAATCAATCAAAAGAACGTTCGTAAAACCGGGTGAAATATTTAAATAATTTTGGATACACTTTCCAACTCGAAAGCTATTAATTTCCCTCAGGTTCGTCCCGAGAATCCGCCGGGTCGTTCGGGAAAATCCGAGGAGAGAGCGCAACCCGGCGAGAGGAAATGAAAGGAAAATGGATAACACAGAAAGAGCATTAGGCGAAAAGCCACTCACTCACTCAACTGTGTGTGCTTTTGACAAATATTCGTGCTACGAAAATATCAAAATCGAATAATTTTCGCGGTCACAAGGTAAATTCATGGTATATGCATGTTGAGTTACGAATTGGTTTTGGACCGGGAGAGATCGTCTCGTATACTCGTGTACGCCACACCGAATTTTCCTCCTTTCAGTTTCTTCAGACTAGATAGAAAATAGATGTGATAGGTGTTGGGAAAATTTGAGCTGCCCTGTTCAAAATCAAAAAACGACACGCACACGACGTGCACAGACGACCAAAATCAAAACGAAGACGACCACGACGGCCAGAAATAAGCAAATTATTTAGCTAACAATCGTCGAAAGGGACACTAAGGATTACCCAGCCGACGATTGTTGGTTAAATTTTGCTAACGGCAGCGCGAGAACTATTTTCAAATAATAAATATATATCTTAAATAATAATAATAATAAATAATCGATCTGCAAAGTGAATGAAATAACGAACAAGTGCAAAATTGGAAACCCACTGAAACTGTGACAAAATTTGTGCGAGCCTAATTGAATATCTATTCAGATACCTATATATAAACACCAGATTCCCAATACACATATATATCCTATTTGCATATATATACATAAAAAGAAAAAAAATATCCATTGGCTCGCCTTGGCTGGCCTTAAATAATCGTTGATTTCCAAATTCTTCATTCTTTCATTTAGTGCATTTAAACGAGCGCATATATAGCGGATGCATATATATGCAGAAATACGAGCAAAAGTGTTAATTCTAATTTTCCCTAATTATCCATAATTACGGAAAACTTGCAAGGAGAATTTATGACGTGGCTAAAGTGCTAACCAAGCTGGAAACTCGAGGATAATTTGTTGTGTTGATTATTATGGGGCGGCTAACAATTTGGTTCCTCCTGGGACTAACGTTATTCGCCGTCTCCAATCATGGTGAGTATCCTGGAATTCACAAATCTTATCACCTCCTTATATCTCTGTTATATAAGGCAAAAGGGCGAGGTGGCACTTTCGGGTTTCTTGACAGATTTTCACGCAGCCTGGGCAGGCATTATGCAATTTTATAACAAAAAGCCAAGAAAAACAGAAAGGAAACGTCTGTGAAAAAAAATATGTATTAATATACGTTTAAAAATATTTGCCTGAGTTTGTGCGTTCTCAGAATTTGTGGGTCGGTGTGTTGGTGTCTGCAAACGTCAGTGGACGACACTTTGGGCATTAGTATTAGCCCCGTACACTTGACTTGGCCAACGACTAGTGGCAGCACAGATACAGATATAATTTTGCCGACTTTTTTTTTTGTTCGGGAGAACTGAGATTTGTGCGCCGCTTGGTCGCTCTTCGTTGTCATCGTTTGTAATATTTTTAAATTTAGAAATTTTTAAGTTATTTTATTTGCGCTCAGCGAGCGCTTTCCATCTATCTATTTTGCCACCCGTGTGTGCGAAATGTCTCTGTGTATTTTGTTTGGTTTGCTCAAGTTTGCAAAACTGCCACAAAAAACATTAGGGAAATAGATAGAAAAATGAGAAATGGCGCAAATGCCATGTACTATACAATATATATTATGGGCTGGGATGATGGGCTCGATTGCAGCAACAACATAAACACAATATGCAGGCAGGCGGTCGGCGAAATTTGTATAAATAATTCTATCAATGCGGTTAGCAATGAAATTCGAAATTGCTCAAATAGCTTCCTGCCCACACACAACCTGAAATAAATCAAACGAATTATGCGCCGACAGGCGAACTGCACATTGAAAACTGATAGGCAAACTCATTTGTATCGGTCTTAATTTGTCCCAGGTTGTTGGCTCATATATAGTTTGGTAAATTTTCTAATCCCCGGCAGACATTTGTCCTAATTTTCTGAAAATAATCAAGTAATTAGCAGAGCGACCTCACCACCAGTCAGTCACTCAAAAGGCGACCTTCCATTACCGAAAGGCAAGTGATGAAGATGTAGAATATTCCATTGCAAATGGAACGCCCCCGCATCCGGATTTTCAGAGCAGTAAGGTGGCCAAGAGAAACAAAAATACAGAAGTAAGGCCAAAGTGGGCGAGCAGCCAACAGCCAACAGCCAACAGAATGGTACAGAAATTTTTACTCATCCACAAGCTGGCGAAATGTGTTTGAGTTTTCATCTTTTAAAAATAAAATTCATAAATCCGCCGCATATATTCGAAAGTGTGTATGTTTGTACACGTCGAGTACCATAAATAATGTCAAGTTTGAACAGATAAAATGACCTCGTCGCTGGCGCTGACATCAAACTGAGAAAGTGCGACCATTGTTCTTCGATGAGCCGATGAGCAGATGAGAGATGAAAATAGCTTAGGGCCTTTCCTAGGGCTTCCTGGTTTCTGGGCCATGCTCGGATTACAAATTGACCTGTCACGTTCTCTCGACCATTTTCAGTTGGGTTTGTTAACGCCGATGTCGGACCAAGCGAATCAGAATGTCGACCCTACATCGAAAAGGCCATACATGAATTGAAAGGTAAGAATCTAATCTTAAATATCTTAAGAGTTATAACAAGTTTAAGCAAGAAACATATATTTCACAATGTATCATCAAATGTACCAAAACAAAAGTAACTAATTTTTTTGTGGCACACCAGATAATAAATTATGTTAAATGGACCATTTAATTATATCTAAAAATCAGAATTATATCATTCCCCAATTCTAAAAAAATTCTACCATAAAACACCTAATTTATTTAATCTTTCGCATGTTCTTTATAATTTTAACAGATGGTGTCAGAGATGGATCTGGAGAACTGCAATCCGATCAGCCACGTGGGGACGACGATGATGACGATGATGGTGGGCTATCCGCTGTTGAAAAAGACACAATTGAAATTGAAACTGTCGAATTGGATTCCACAGAGGACGCGAAAAGTGCCAACGATTTGGATGGAGACGGCATACCCGATGACGAGGACGATGACATCGATGGGGATGGCATACCGAACGACAAGGACGATGATATCGATGGAGATGGCATACCAAACGACGAGGATGAGGACATTGATGGCGATGGCATCCCGAATGATGAGGACGATGATATCGATGGCGACGGTGTGCCCAACTCCAAGGACGAGGACATCGACGGTGACGGTGTGCCCAACTCCAAGGACGAAGACATCGATGGCGATGGCAAAGCAAATCACGGTGAGTTTAATCAGTAAGGAAATTTATCAAAGTTTCTTAATAAATAATTATAATTTTAACCACAGAGGACGATGATCTAGATGGCGACGGCACCCCCAATCATGGTATGAGTTAATTGCATATTTTTCACAGCTTTAAATATATATTGCCTTATTGAATCTTTAAGCTTTAATAATTTTTATTTGATTTGCTCAATTTTTAAGCTTTTTTATTTGCAGATAAGTGCTACGATCTTGTTTTGGTTTTCAGCATTTTCGATCGCTTTCGTTTCTTTCTAATTTGACTAAATTCTAATGAATAATTGAATATTTCAGAGGACGATGATCTTGATGGCGACGGTGTGCCCAATGAGGAAGATGATGATCTAGATGGTGATGGAAAAGCCAATCACGGTTTGTTAATAATAAGGTTTTTTTTTTTTTTGTAAAATAGTATTTATTACCATTGTTTGTTCACAGAGGATGAAGACCTCGATGGTGATGGAATACATAATGACGATGATGAAGATTTGGATGGTGATGGCAAAGCAAACCACGGTAAGAGTTTTATAACTTCTGTGCCTAATAAATATTAACCATTACTATCTACCTTATCCTTTTTCCAGAGGACGAAGATATTGATGGTGATGGCGTGAAGAACGAAAAGGATGATGATTTGGATGGCGATGGCACCAACAACTCCCGTACGATTTATATTATTATATAATAAAATATATTTAAAATCTAAAAACTTTCCCAAACTTCTTCAGAGGATGAAGATCTGGATGGTGATGGTGTGCCGAACGAAAAGGACGACGATCTGGATGGCGATGGCATCCTGAATGAGCACGACGGCGACGTGGATGGCGATGGAGTTCCCAACGAACACGATCACAAGGACAGTGGTGAAAATGCCGATACCGACGACGATGGTGACGAGGAGGAGAAGGAGGTGAAGAAGCGCAGCAAACGCGAAGTGGATGCTGCTCCCGTTTTGGACATTCAAGCTCCTCCCAGTCCTGCCGATGAGTTCCCCGTAGAGGAGGAAATCGTCAAGGAGGAATCCGCCGAAGAGGAAGCTGAGGTCGAGGCTGTGAAAGAACCCGAAGTGGAAGCTGTGCAGGAACCGGAAGTAGAGGAACCAGTCCAGCAGGAAGAGGAGAAGGCCGAGTCTGAGGAAGAAACGGAGGAGGAGAAGCCTGCTCCTGTCGAGGAAGCTGAGGAGGAGCCTGTCAAGCAGGAAGCTGCCCCTAAGGAACCTGAAGCCGTTCAGGAAGATGCCGTGGAATCTGAGGAAGCTCAGGAGGAACCCCAGGCAGATGCTGCCAAGGAAGCCGCTGATGAGGACGATGATGATGATGACGACACCAAGCCAGAGGACGAGCTTCTCTGGGTAAGAATCTATAATTAAACCATTGGTATTTGTATTAACTTGTGTTTTTCAGGAGGGAATCATTCCCGAGAACCGTCGTAGTCGCCAGCACATCACCGAGCTCCTCCAACTCGACGAGGAGTTCAATGCCCGTGAAAAGGCCACCGATAATGTGGCAGAGATCATCCTGCGGGACATCAAGCGCATCTATGAGAATGCTGTCAAGCCCCTGGAGACTCTGTACAAGTATCGCGATCTGAGCAACCGCCACTTCAGCGATCCTGAGATCTTCTCCAAGCCACTGATCCTCTTCATGGGTCCCTGGTCGGGTGGCAAGTCCTCCATCTTGAACTATTTGACCGACAACGAGTACACCCCCAACTCTTTGAGAACTGGTAAGTTAAAATATCAATTAGATCATTACAAAATTTAATTAGAGTTCCTGTTCTTAAGTGTTTTCTTTTTTGAATAAGTGTAAAGTTTTTTTAATCTACAAAAAACTCCTAAAAATCTATTTTGCATTCCTCTAATTCTTTTCCCTGTTCCTCGACAGGTGCTGAGCCATCTCCCGCCTATTTCAACATCCTGATGTGGGGCAACGAGACCGAGGTCCTGGACGGCACCCAACTGGCGGCGGACTACACCTTCTCCGGCCTGCAGAAGTTCGGCCAGGGATTGGAGGAGCGCCTGCGAGGCCTGAAGATGAAGAGCAAGATTCTCGAGAAGGTGAGCCATAGACCACGGGCTATCTGGCAGGGCAGATCAGGGACAGAAGTATCTGAGTATATAGTAGTGGATGGCTAGTGCGCCCAAGCGTTAACTTGTCTCCCAGGGCAGCGGCCCGTCGATTGGGAAACTGCAAACAGCTGGCCAACTGCCAAACGAAATTTATAGATTTTAGCACACCAGGCTGCATTAATTTCGTTATTAATAAATTGAAGCGGGAAGGGGCGGGGTCGGACAACAAAATACAAACAGACAGTTGTAGTAAGACAAAGAATTACTATATTTAAGCACTTGCCAATGCTTTTCAGGTCAACATCGTCGAGATACCCGGCATTCTTGAGGTGCGCAAGCAGGTTTCCCGCGTCTTCCCCTTCAACGATGCCTGCCAGTGGTTCATCGATCGCGCGGACATCATCTTTCTGGTCTACGACCCGGCCAAGTTGGATGTGGGTCCCGAGACGGAGGCGATTCTCGACCAGCTGAAGGGGCGCGAGTACCAGACGCGCATCATCCTCAACAAGGCGGACACCGTCAAGCCGGAGGAGTTGCTGCGCGTCCAGGGCGCCCTCATCTGGAACATCTCGCCGCTGATGTCCTCGGCCCAGCCACCCCTCATGTACACCACCTCGCTGTGGACCCATCCCTACCAGGATGGCGCCCCAGCCCGTCTGCTGCTCGCCCAGGAACGCGCCTTCCTGCGTGATTTGCGCACGGCCATCGACAAGCGCATCGAGCACAAGATCGCCAGCGCCCGCCGATTTGCGGTGAGTACTCGGGCGTATACGTAATGTTTGTTATTCCATATTTTACATGGTTGTAAAGTAGAGAAGAGTAAAGTAAAAAAAAATACGTTTAACATTTTTAATAACTATGAAATCAATTGATAGCTTTTTAATTGGATTTTTTTTTTGTTAAAGAATGTTCCAAGAAAATAAACCTTTTTTATTATTTTTCAATCTAAAGGTGCGCGTGCGTAACCACGCAAAGATGGTGGACTGCTATTTGAACACTTTCAACAACCACAAGACGCTGTTTGGCAACAAGAAGCGCATTGCCGACGACATCATTGACCATCCGCAGAACTACCACATCTACGAGGGCCTCTCCACGCTGACGAACATCTCGCGCTACGATCTTCCGGATCCGGAGGTCTACCGCGACTTCTTCCGCCTGAATCCGCTGTACGAGTTCAAGAAGCTGAGGGACACCTGCACCTACTTCCGCGGCTGTCCGATCACCAAACTGGACTTGGCCATTGCCTACGAGCTGCCCGAGCTGGCCGGCAAGTACAAGAAGATGTCCGAGTCGGCTTTGGCCAGCATCGAGGCCCAGCAAAGGGATGGAGCCCAGAATCTGAACCAGAATCAGAATCCGGCCGATCCCAAAAAGACGAGTTGAGGTGTTGGCTCCACCAGAGGAGAAAACCTGCCATTTAGTTTGTTTTAGTGAGGGATAGAGAGAATGTGACATCGGCACCGGTAACCGTCTATAGAGAATTAATATCGAGAAGGGAGAAATGGAGAAACCCATAATATCGGTAGAGAACAACAGCGCAAGACATTAAACAAGGCCATTGTTTAAAGAGGAAGGGAGAGAGAGGGACCTTAAGAGCGAGAGAGAGGCAAGAGCGATTTGAAGTAGCAACGGTTGCTTAGAGGACTTTTGATTTCAACCGCATTGCAGGAGATCTTTACTTTCATTTATTATAATACACTTAACCGAACTGAGAGCTTTATGAGAGGGAAACTAATGCAATATCGAGAGCAAAACACACAATCACACACAGAATATTTACACATATTTCCGAGTAGAGAGGTAACATGGAGTCTTTTCTAGGCGAGTAGATAAGCACTTAACCCATAACTGAGAGCAATAACTAATAGACGAATTATCGACGATTTCTAACCCATAACACATGACCCACAATTAATCCGACCCCTCATCGGCTAGCTACCCATTATAATTCCCAAGGGCCCAGCTTATTCTTTTCTTTCCTCGAATAGTAGTGGACAACAGCGCAGTGTTTTGATTTTGAGATCTGAGATTTGAGTTTTGAGCAAATGGAATTTCGTAAAGTTTTAATTTTTGTTTTTTGGTTCCTGTCCCTGACGATTTTTCGTAGTTGATAAGACTTTTTTTGATAAAGCAAACAGTGAAGACGATAATATTGAATTTAACCTATTTAATCATGAATGAATTAGACGCATGTGAGATAAATCAAACTTATTAACGAGCGTGAGCAGCTCAAACACACAAAATACAAACTCAAATAAATAAAAACAACGGAAAACCCCAAGCAAATGTGAGTTTTATTACCTCTGAAAAGTTGATTTTTTTGCATGATTTTATAGGTCAATATCCAAGCCTATGAACGTAATTTACATCCAGTAAAATAAATAGGTAAACTTTTTGATGATAGATACCGTCGTTCTATCCTTCAGAATTGACTAGATATGGCTAGGATATAATTTTCCCGTTTGAATGATTGGCGGGTTGTTAACAGTAAGGTGAGACCATATTAAGAATTAAGTATTTAAGTTTTCTTTAGTATTTTCGGTTAACAGAAAACCACAGAGTATGGCCAGATGAAAGAAACTAACAATGTTATAACATCTGTTTAAATTACCTAACAAAAATTGACAACACGCGAATTAGAAATCAGGAAACGAAAAATTAAAAGACCCGGAGCTGCTGAAAATGCATACGGATCTTTCCGCCCATCTGCATACTCCCGCCTGCAACAAGTTAATTGAGGAGCTTCAGGCCTGTCACAAAAACGTGAGTAACACCCAGGAATTACCGGAAAAGATTGTACTCCTATACTTTGGAATTCTACTTACAGAACGGATTCGGGAAATTTTTGGGTGTGTGCAACTCCATTGATGACAAAGTTGTCAAGTGCCTGAAAAAAGAAAGAATTGCTAGATCCGCCGCAAACCGAGCCAAAGCCCGCGAACGTCAGGCAAAATATAAGGAACAGTTGCTTCAGGGAGAAGCCAATTAGCAAAAGAATCTAACAATATGTCAGTCCTATCGGAGGATCCACTGGAAGCCTTTTACTTCGAGCACGAGGAGCAGGAGATTTGCGGACAGCCGGTTAGTCCCATAACAGATGGATACCAAGAGGATTACCCCAGCGTTGTGGATCGCTTCTTCACCAGATATTACTATTTTAAGGGGGAGGTTCCCTACCAAGTCCTCTACCACTCCAATCGCATTTGCCTGATATGCCTGGCTCCCGATCACCCTGCATTAAGTCAGGGCATCTCGTCTGTAAACTTCGATATCGGTAATGTCGATCGCAGCCAAAATGTGGTTAAGGGCAAGGGAAAGAAGGGCGGTATGATCCTCCAGGCGGAGTCCACCTTGGCCTTGGTTACCACCGAAAACGGAGAGACCTACAAGGTTCCTAGCTGCATTCGGGGCAAACTGGTGGAGGTCAACACCGGCTTGGTGGAGGAGCCTAAGCTTCTGGAGCAACTGCCCGAGGGAGCTGGCTATTTTGCTATCCTGCTGCCCAAAATCGAGAACTGTGATGCCATCAAGGCGAGTCTGCTGACTCAGGAACAGTACGAGGAGCGTTTAAAGATCCAGAAGGAAGTACCTAAAACTAATACCAGCGATGACACGGAAACCCGTTCTCATACCGAGGAGATCGTAAAAAGGGAACTGGTTAATTCAGTGGCGTAGATAGCTTTTTGATATGGGGGGGGGATATGCACAGTCATCGCGAAAAAAGGGGTGGTTCTTTTTCAATTTTGAGAGTTTTACCATTAATTGCCGTATTGCACATTGAGACAAAATAAATATTGGCGCTTCAAAAATGTTATGCTTACATTAAAACACATGCCTGGAAAAAATTCGATTTTATCATCTTATAATTCTCAGACCCAAGGGGGGGATTGATCCCCCTGATCCCCCCCCCTATCTACGCCACTGGGTTAATTAATTCTGACCGTAGATTTCTATTTTAATAAACGTAAAATTTATGTTATAAATTTTCATAAACAAAGCACATTACAAATATATTCATTTTAATTTTGTATTACTTAAGAAAAAAATTTAATTGTTGATCAAACGTAAACATATTTCTCATGTAATTGTGTTGAATTATTGAAATAACAGTGTCTGTTAAGCAGTTCGTATGGCATAACAGAACTCCGAAACGGTTAACAGCATTTTAAACATGGTTGGTAACGCGAAGCAACACGTGTGAAACATAAACAGCTGTTTACGCCGCTTAATTTTCTATAGGAAGCAAAACAAGAAAGTTCATAAAATAAATATCTAAAATGTCTGCGAATAAGCAAAAGAAATTAAATACAATGGAAGTAGACCCCAATGAGGAGGACTCCAGTTCTAGCGAAGATGACGATGACGACGAACCGCACCCAGATGCTTACAGAGGCAACGAGGTAAGTAAAATGGTCACATAAATACAAAAAAACATGTTTCCAAGTTTTTTTTTTATTACTTAGGAGGTGCAAATCGACTTCGAGGGTCGTGCTCCGGTGGATCCCGATGCCCAGGGTATCTCCCAGCTACTGCAGCGTTTGTTCCTGCGTGCCCATATCAATTGCAATCAAATGGCGGATCTGATCATTGGTAAAATATTACTTACCCAAAGTTCCTGTAGCAAAAGGAATTTCAAATAAATTGTTTTCACTTTTAGCTCAAAACTACGTGGGCAGTGTGATCTGCCAATGCGAAGATGAGGGCGCCGAGAGCGAAACGGATGACGACAACATGGTCGAGGATGGAACTGTGTTTGGTATCACCTCCGTGCTGAATTTGACCGCCAAGAAGGATCAACCCAGCATCGCCCAGTTGAGAACCTACTTGCTCGATCGCGCAAAGTCGCACGCCTCAGCGCAAGTGCAGCAGAAGCTCAAGGAGATCCTGGATAACGAGCAGCACCACGTGGGATTCCTGGTCAACGAGCGGTTTATAAACATCCCCGCCCAGATCTCCGTGCCACTTCTGCAGAACTTGCAACTAGAAATCGACGCCGCCAAGGCAAAGAAAATGAAGTTTGACTTTGGCACTCTGCTGCTCCTGGTTAAATTCTACAGGAAGGAAGCCAAGAAAGGAAAGCCTGCCGAGGACAACTACACGAATGCCGAGGATGAGTTGCTGTCGGATCGGGCCAAGTTCTCCTTTGAATATTCCGTAGCCTCTGAAACAGACTCGGGGATGTCTGGAGATTGGCTGGAAGGCGATGCTGTGATGACGCCCTACAGGAAGCTCCTGGTTCTGGAAGCCAAACAGTTGCCACAGCTAATTGACGACATACAGAGATTTATTAATGGAGAATAAATGCTTTTCTGTTTTAAGAATTGTTTCTTATGTTTTGAAGGGCTTCAAAACACAATCGGGAATTACGAAGCTATTTGGAGTATATTTTTTGTAGGCACCAAGAGGAAGTGTTTTTAGTAGAAACCCTTTATCATGTTTATTTTATAGCCGGCAAGAGTACCAAAAGTACGAACAGAAAGCTTTTTAGGAAGTTCACTTAGATTGGCAACGCGGGCAAACGGCAAACAGCTGGCCGGCATTTGAAAGCTCTCCCCCACGCTAATGCCGGTTGGTCTACCTCTGAAAACCTGGCTGACGTTCCTTTGTTTTCGCTTTTGGCCCAGAAACTGCATCCACCGTGGACGTGACTGCCAATAGGAAACCCACAACTCCCAACCGAGCGACGTGAGTAGACTTTGACTTTGTTGTTTACGGGTTATATCCGAGTTCTAGTATTACATTGTGATCATACTTTGCGATTATTCATCGCTCGTGCGATTTGGTTTCGTCCAAGTGGCGAGCAGCAATTAAAACGAAAGCCCGGTTGTCAAATGTATAAAAAGCTTGACCACCCAGCTAGAACATTGCAAACCGCCCCAGAGCGTTATCAGAGCAGCTCCTTATCGCCAGCTTTTCGTTCCAGATCCCGCTCCCAAGTCTCCAGTTTATTCCAGCTGCAGCGCTTTGTTCCCATCTAAAAATTCAGTGACTGCCCATTTGCCGATCGACCAAGTCGCGTGAGCTGCCATTAATCACTCGTTATGGGTATCGAAAAGTGAGTACAAACTGAATTAACAATTAGTGGGTGGGTTTATATTATGGGGACCTAGTTATCTGGTCGCGCTTGGCGACCGATTGGGAAAGCTCTCATGAATTCGCCATCTTTTACACTAAGGGTTAAACGTTTAGTACACTAAAAATCAAAATTACTTAATACCAACAACTTGTTAGATTGCCATAAGTTGGTCTTAACTTTTGGCATACAAAAGAATAACATTTTTTAACACTTATTTTAACTTATCATTACCCAAATGATAGCATAAAAAGATAACCTGTTGTTTGAAAATGAAAAATCCCAATTTTAAAATATTATTATTATTCATACATGTTGTTTTGCTATCTTATATTGTTTTGTTCAGTAGGAATTTGACGAAGCAGATTTTTATAAGCTGATCCATATTAATCGTATAATTTATGTTACGTTTATTGTTTTCCTTGTATTAATATATTAACCGCAGGTACACCTTTCCTCAAATTGGGGAATTAGTTTATGAGTGCAGCCATTCCAAAGCCTTATCGCGATTCTTTATAGCACTTAAAGTTAAGATAATCTCAGCGCCAGGAGTGTGGGTAAAATAAAAGAAAAACATTTCGAAGACATTGACATGGTTATTTTTTGTTCAGGAGGGAATCCTATAAAAGAAATTAATAAAAGTACAAAAGACTCAGGGTCGTTATGTAATGTCAGCAATTGCATCAGTTAATAAAGCCACTGTGTCGTGATAAAATGCATTACAATGTGGCGTCATTGCATGTATTGTTGACACCTCGATATGTTTCTTAATGAATACGAATGACGATTCAGTTGCGCACTTCATTTCCAGAATTCTACCATGCACCCTCCGGCTGAACAAGCTGATGAGCGCGGCGGGCAGCGACTGCCTTTGCATCATCGATCGCAACGCGGTTCCCACCGAGCTGAAGGCTGCTTTCGAGGAGCACCGCAGCTTCGACAAGTCCTTCGACAGCAGCATATCCTGCTTCAAGGCTCCCAATGTTGAGCAGCCGGTGGTCTACGCACCCGTCGCTGAGCTCACCGACTACGATGATGTGAGGAGCTACCAGGAGGCGGCCAAGAAGTCCATGCAGAAGGTGCTCAAGGTGGGTGTTATAATTAGGGGAGGGTGGTCCCATACCGACCGGTCGTACCATACCGACCCCCCCATGTTTCTCAGAGATGGCGATGCTAGCCGAATTGTCGGTAACTTCAGTGAAAAGCTGTTATAACACAGACATTTTGGAGATAGATAGCCACTTTGACTTATTTTGTTTCACTGCAATTTTTCCGTTTGTTTTGTTTCAACGCCTGTGACATTTATTTTTGAGCTTTACTGAACTTGAGCTCAAAGTTTTTTTTCTCCGCATAAAAATCGGAGAGTAAATTTTTCTGATCGTTGATAGTCCTAGCTTTCCCTCAAATAATTAGAATTACATCGCTCTTTGCGTCTTTAGTTAATGCCGAGCACTTAATCAGAAAAGGTCGTGGTGGTCCGAAACCGACCGCTAGGTGATGGTCCGAAACCGACCCCCATTTATTGGCAGCTTAATATGTCATAGCGTATTTTTGATGGAAAATATGAAAAAGTAAACAAGATTCAGTAAAGAAAAGTAACAGAAACAGCAAAAACATCAGAAGAAAGCGAAGAGACAGTCATCAACGAGCGGCTTTCGAAAAACTACGCGAAAACAACGCGAAAACTTACTATGAGAAAGAGGACAACTCAGACTTCATCAATTGTCTACATTGCCCTTTATTTCATACATTAATTTTTATTTTCTGGAAAGAACCTTCAATATATTTCTTAATAAACGTCAAAATCATTAAATTCTATTTTATGTTATTAAATTTTTCTGTTAAGAAATAGGGGGTCGGTTTCGGACCACTACTTTTGAGTACGACCAAAAAGTAGAGTTTTATATTTGCCTGAATATCTAACGCTTCAAAGCACCTACGCACTTACTAATCATTTAGATGTACAGTAAACTGATCCCTCTACATAGTACTTTTTTGAACTGAACTGAAAAATTGATTTTTCTCACCTTTATCGCCTTTGCCTTTTAGGGGGTCGGTATGGGACCACCCTCCCCTACTAACAAATTTAAAGGCAGATTTTGAGCAAATGCTTTCGCCAATTGAAGAAAATCTTTTAGGAAAGTGATACAAAAATGCGATAGATTTCATAATGCAATTACATTTTTATTTCCCAGGCTGGTTTCACAACTCCTTTGCTTGTTGTTCCCAAAGTGAAGCGTTTCCCTGAGGCTGAGCTCTGCACCGTTCTTGGAGCTCTCGAACAGCTTTATGTGGTAGGTACTTCTAAGTGTTTAAAATCCAATCATTTAATAAACATCTTCCTTAAAGCCCATTCAACTGCGTGAGGCAGGAACCTGCAAGGATTCCGGCGTGACTACGCTCAGTCTCCAGATCGACGATCCCAAGGCCGATGAGATCCTCAGGGAAGCCCAAATCCTCGAGGCTGGTCGCTTTGTGGCGCGTGACATTGGAGTCGGAGACCCGGAGCGCATGACGCCCATCCAGGTGGAGAAGTACATCAAGCCGCTGTTCGAGAAGCTGAACGTGAATGTGATCAGTGATCCGAAGATCCTGGAGAAGGAGTACCCATTGTTTGCTGCCGTCAACCGGGCAGCAGATGCCGTGGAGCGCCATCGTGGTCGCATCATTTTCCTGGAGTACAAGCCCCCAAAGCCGGCGAGGAAAACCCTGATGCTGGTGGGCAAGGGCGTGACCTACGACACCGGCGGTGCTGACATCAAGGCCGGAGGAGTGATGGCCGGCATGTCGCGCGACAAGTGCGGAGCAGCAGCTGCCGCAGGATTCATGCAGGTGGTCAGCAAGCTCCAGCCGGAGGATATCCATGTGGTGGCTGCTCTCTGCATGGTCCGCAATTCGGTGGGCGAGGAGTGCTATGTGGCTGATGAAATCATCACCTCGCGAGCGGGTCTCCATGTGAGGATTGGCAACACCGATGCCGAGGGCAGGATGTGCATGACTGATGCTCTCTGCCGGATGAAGGAGATGGTCGTGGAGCAGAATCTCCCCGATCCGCATATCTTCACCATTGCCACTTTGACGGGACACGCTTTCATCTCGGCTGGGGAAGGTCAGTCGATTGCCATCGATAACAGCGTGGCCCATCGGGAGGATCATGCCAGGAAACTCCAGGCTGCCGGTCAGACCTTCGGCGAGCCCTTCGAGGTTTCCATTCTCCGTCCCAGCGACTTTGCCTTCAATGCGGGTAAGGTGATTGGCGAGGATCTCGTCCAGGCCAACAATGCTCCATCGGTGAAGACACCGCGCGGTCACCAGGTGCCCGCCGCCTTCATGATCATGGCTTCGGGATTGGACAAGCACGGCTTGGACTCGGAGGTGCCGATCAAGTATACTCACATCGATATTGCCGGCAGTGCCGGTGAGCATCCATCGATGCCCACAGCTGCCCCTCTGGTTTCCCTTGTGAAGACCCATCTGCAGAAGTAGTTCCCCTCGAGCTCATTGTCATTCGATGGAGTTCTGTACTTACCCCATATATGCATAGCTAACCAACAATATTATCTTTCTGTCCACTTACTGCATCACTGTTCTCAATAAAAACTAAATCAATAAAGTTATTCATGTGTTCAAATAATGTTTATCCTCAAATTTGTTTACATATTTGTTTACTATTCCACTAAGAAATAGTTAATACCCTAAAGATATTATTGTTTCCTCTTTTGATTCAACATTACCAAAAACTCCATTGTTTAAGGCTTATAAGAAAGTCTTCGCGGTAGTCCAGGTTTTAAAATTCCTTTTCTTTTTATTTCTTTATTGTTTCTTTTTGTTATTACCGCATTTTGCTTGTGCATTGTTTGCATAATTGGCGAGCGCCCTGCATTTCGAGCTCTGGTTGGCCATCTACGATCCGCCTTTTCTTCGCAGCGCCTTCTTTTTCAGCTTGGCCCACAGCCTAGAACCCGTTAGCCGCTTCTTGGCCATGCTCTTCCATCGTGCTTTGGGCCTCGTTCCGGGGAGCTTGGGCCTGCTGCAACATGTTGTTGGCTCCTCCCGTTGGGGCCACTTGTCAGCTGTCGCATGTGTCGTGGTACCGTTATTGCCTGGCTTCGGAAACTCGGTCAAGAGTGTCTCATTCATGCTGTGATTGCATAATATACCGTTGCCTCTCGTTGGCCTTCTTCTGCCGGGCTGCCAAGCTACCAAGCTGCCGGGTCTTCCCGTTCTTGGCCTTCTCCCGTCGAAGCAACTTGGTTTCTTCGGTTCTTGGTTCTTCCTTCTCTTGGGTGCGCTTCTCGGTTCTGGGTTCTGGGTACTGGGTAATTTATTGACAGTCACACTGGCCACTTTTGGTCATCTGGCCAAGTCGCTGGACTTTGGCTCTGACCGACCGGACTAACGGTACTTATTATTGATGAACGTAGAAGTCTTTTTCGTTGACTTCTCCACCATTTCGCTCCGTTAGTGTGAATTTATTGCCAAGGCGGCACGAACCAACAAACACACAAAAAGCAAAAACCAGTGGCAGGAAAAAAGAAAGAAGATCTCTGGACACCGGGAGCTCTCTGGATTGTTGGCCATGTAACGGGCCGCAAGTCAAGACTTGACCTGATTATGGCAGGACTGGTTAACGGCTTCCTGAATGCTGTCATGTTCGAGCCAACTGCTGAATCTGGTTCATATTTCAGGAGATTAATCGATCGAAGACTTTGGCACCAATTTGTATTCGTTTGTATTTCGTTTATTTGTGATTGCAATGGAAAGAAAAGTAATTCTGTCAAGAAGAGGGATATATGAACAATAACTTATAAATTAAGATGATAATTTGGAATGCCTTTAATTTAAATATACATTTTTTCAATGCAAAGAAGATTCATTTAGATTTGTATTTAGAAATCCAAAAAGTAGACAACGCTTTCTGCAGCTACTTGCAATTGCAATCTATAGATTTATATAACCTACGATCCGCACATTTCAAGCTTATTGAAGTCTTCGGGTTTCCATATATTATGCATTCGATACCCATCGAACAGTGAATCAAATCAAATCGAATCAGCTGACTGGTCGGTTGGCTGCCCCCCAGTAAGACATCAACAAAAACAACATCCCCGAACACGGCAAAAAAACAGCAATGAGGAACCGCAATCCGGTATGGACAATCACCAAAACACCTTGTCAATTGGGCGCTTGTCTCTCGGAGGAGGCAGACGAACTGGCTCCAAATGTGTGTGCGCAGTTTGCTCCCCGATCCATAAAGTCGCGAAAACGGCAAATGAAGAAAACAAACCGCTGGCGATGTGGGAACTTGGGACGTCGGCGGTGGTGGCGGCGGCATTAATAATAGCAAACAACAGACAAGCAACACCAAATGAGGGGGTTGTGTTGCTGTTGCTGCCGCTGCTTGTTGCAACTCTTGCACCGGCAGCAGCAGCAACAGCAACAACAACAACAACAGCAACAGCAGCAGCAACCACTTGGAGCAGCAAACGACAGAAATGATCTTAAATGAATGCGGAAGTTTTTCTTGGGGTTTCGTAACCAGCTACAGCAGCAGCAGCAGCAGCAGCAACTGCATCAGCAGCAGCAGCACCAGCAGCAGCAACAGCAACTGCAGCAAACAGCAGCAACACCAAAGAGGTCGCAATTCCAGTGGCAGCAATGTTGCTACATTTATGTACATGTGTTTGTCGGCCAGTCGATGCCGTGAGCCCATAATCATAGATGCTGCTCTTAGCTGGTGGCTAGGTCGAAAGCAGCCCAGTCCCAGTCCCAGTCCCCAGACCCCAGTCCATGGACATATTAAAATTAATCCAATGATTGCAGCGGCGGCCGCTTGAAAATTGTTAGCCAATTTGGTAGGACCTCGCCGCTTGGCCTCACTTGAGTAAGCAGGGAGCGTGTGAATCGGAAGCTGAGCCAGCCAGCTGCCAATAGTCATTTGATCCTGGCCAAAAGCTCGGCCAGTTTCCCATGTGCCCAGCCATTTGGAATAAAATGATGCAGCATCAGCAATATAAGCAATATCAGCAGAAGCAGCTGCTGCCTAAATTCGAAGTTCAAGGCTGCCAGGATCCATATTGAATGTCCTCCCCCGCCTGCAGTTCATCCTGTTCATTCATGACCCACGGACGAATGCGCCTGGGTGGGCCAACGCAGAGATCCTGGCTGGGAACAGACAAATTTCTGCATAAACCCATAAATATCAAGTTGATCTAAACGGGATATCCAGAGGCGCCGGCGCCCTGAACTTGAAAATCCATGTAATCCATATAACAAGGCCGACAAGTCACGTACCGAGCAGCTTGACAACTCATAAATAAACGCTAAATTATGAACTCCAGTCGAATTTGAAATGGGAATTGAAATGTTTTTGCCACACCAAAAGATTTTCTTTTGCCAGCAGTCACACAGAGAAACACAAGCAATCGGCAACCCGTAGCAGTTACAACTACACTTACAGAAAATTTTACTTTAATAGTCAAAAACGTATAATTATTTGCAAGGCCTCCTTAAGCCATAAAGGTAAATGTGTTTTTTTTATTTGTTGTAACAGCAAAAGAGAAATAAATTATTTCTTAACATTGACACCATTTGATTTCTATTTGTGAATATTAAATATATAATATTAATATTCTATTTTTCTTCTTAAGTTGTATACTTTATATTAATCAGCATCCCTTTGTGAAGGGTTAAGCATATCAAACGATTTTCTCAGTGTGCAAAAAAAGGCGCCTCATAATCCATAATATTGTGTCATGTTCATGATCAACGCGGCCTCAGCCTTGGCGAGGAAAATGTGTGGCCGGCCCACACCTTGGTGGCAAAATTATTCGGAAAACTCCTCGGCGAGCGAACGAAAGTAAAAAGAAAGGCCCGAAAACCAAAGCCAAAAACCGACAACCGAATTCGACCCGCTTGCCGGCTAATGAAGTGGTAAAAAGGGGCTTGGAAAACGGCATGCCATTGCATTTCGTTTGCTGTTGCTGTTGTTGTTGTTGTTGCTGGTGTTGCTGTTGCATTTGGGTACTGGTGTTGCTGTTGCCACCAACGCCGGTGTTGCAGTATTGCTATTGCCATTGCCTCCTCGGAGTTGAGCGCAGTTGGCTTGCCATTTTTATGGCCTCTTTGGGTAAAATGTTAACAACTGCGCCGAGGGAGGGGGTAAAAATATGAATTTTTACTTTCACCGCATGTGGCAAATTCAGGTTTGCCAGCGGGCTTGAACTTGAGAAAAAGGCAAAGGCGGCGGCAATTGTCAAGGCTGCCAAAGGTCACAAGACCCAGTCGAACGAAAGGTGTGGTCGAGTCAGATAAGCGAGTTGTAACACCACGAGATACTGCTAAAAAAGATATCCCTATTGAGATGGAAAGTGTAGATAAAAGATGGAATACATTTTCAGTTTTTAATAACAAATATCAAACACTCCCAAAGGTGTTAAAAGGCGTTCGATCTGTTTCCTGAATATTCAATTACCATTTTTTGATTTCCCAAGACAATTTTCATTTGATTAAACTTTAAATGACTGCGAGTAATATTTTTTAATGAGAAAATAACAGGGAAATTATAGTGATCAAAAGCGAACGCAATACAAATTATGTTGAAACCATGAGTAATTGAACTTATTAATATGTAACAAAACACTTCCTTGCACCGCAAATAAAGGCAAGGCAAGTTGTATCTAAATTTGTTTTAAAATAAATAGATTATTTTTTTGGATAATCCTTAATCCTCTTTTTTTACTGCAACCTTTTCAGTTATTTCTCCCAGTGCTTCGCATACAAACGCTGTTGTGGCGAGATCATAATTGATTGCTGCAACAAATATTTTTATGGTCAGGGCCGAAATCACTTTGGCCCAGCGAGAGCGAAGTTTGCCAGGCAATTTGCTTTTAATCTAGCCTGATGAAGATGTCCGACGCGATGGGATTAGCAGACCACAAAAGATACGGCCAGGGAAACTCGACACCCATACAGCCGCATTTTCTGTTGGCCTGCAACGTTTCCGCATTTTGGCCCAAAAGAGCGAGAGAGCAGAAGTGCTCTTAAGCTTACCATTTGCCACTCTTAAGCTCCAACCGATTTTCGAGGTTCGCTTCAAACTGGCTTACTCGGCAGCGTGGCCGGGCCCAAAAGGTTTGAGCCAGGTTCGCTTCGGCCCGGTTGGTTGGGGCCTCGGCTCCGTGGAGGCAAAACGTCACTAGGGTGAACGTACTCGCGGATGTTAGTGGGTCACTATTTGTACGGTCAACGAACCTTTGGCCGCTTGTAAATACAACAAAAGAAAAAGCCCGGCCAGCAACTTGCTTTCTTTCTTAACTTTTCTCACACAGCAAACGAGCGGCGGGCCAGGCGAGATGACTCTTCTCGTCTCTTGACTGACTTGACTGGTTGACTTGCAGTCGTAATTTACTTGGGCTATAGGTTGATCGTCAACATACCTCCCCCTTTCCCCCTTTCCCCTGGGGAGTCTCCTCCCCCTTCCCCGTCGCTGGCATCCCCCGGCTTCAGTTGCATCCTGCTGGCCTGGCCGTATTTGTTGCCATTTTGGTTGCATTGCCAAGCTGAAGCTGAAGCTGCAGCTGCATTGCTTGGTGTTCTTATTATGCCCCAAACAGGT